ACAAGAAAAAGAAGCAGGTAGGGAAACAAATACAGAGAGGTAAGAGAGTAAGAAAGACACAAGAAGATGGGGAGGAGAGAGAGAAAAAGAAGAGGAAAGAGGAAGAGGAGAAAGGGGAGTAAGTTTAGTGTCTCTAGTAAATTTTGGGAGGGAAAAGGGTAGGGAATAGTCGAACCGGAGGAGAGGGAGAGAGGGGGGAAAGGCGGAAAGAAGGGAAAGAATGGAGAAACCTCACCTCATTGGCCTCAGGCATGGAATGGGCGGTCAGTCAGGAGGTCAACTGATCTATTGCCTGTCACCTCAATATTATTCCCACTCACTATCCTCACTATCTCTGGTCTAGCGATCTACCATCGATTGTTCGTCTCGCGTCCAGACCACTGCGCTCCTTGTCACTACCAACTACTACTGCTGCTGCTGCTGCTGCTGGCTACGGTTGGCGTCTCCCAGCTAGGTTGATCCCATGGTTGCCATTGCTGGGGCCTCCGCGTGTTGTCCCCCCCTAAACCGGCCGTAGAATAAACAATGCCCGTTGTTGGTTCCATGGTTCCGTCCACGTAGACTGACAATCACATCCCAATTTTATTCACGCAATAAGAGTACCCTGGCAAGGAATCGCTAAGACAGTAATAACTATTACTAAAACGGGGGAAAACCAACAACACACCCGGGGTATATGACACGACTGCGCTCAAAACTATCATTACCGCAGCCAAGATAAATATATTTTCATCATCAATCCACCACCTTCAACAACCACCCCCAATCCCAGTGGTCTTCTCCCCTCCGCGCCATTTCCCGGATTTGCGGGAGCATTTGGTGATACAGTCTTTCGCTTTGTTTACGCACTTCTCTCTCCCCGCGTTGACCGATGCCATCGTGGTAGAACTCACAGATTCGATGGTAGCGGTCCGGACCTAGACGCATCTTGTGAGCATGTCGCGCTGCGCCTTCCTTCCTGTCCAAGCGGACGAGCTTGAAACTTACCCTGGAATCGTTGCAAACCCTCGACAAGAGCGTAGCCATCTTCATCTGTCCAAGCCTGTCCCGGAGTGGTCGGCTTCGTCGGCTTGGACTGGCCCTGCTTAGCAGTTTTTGTCGGCGCCTTCGCATGCCTATCAACCTCCACATCTTTCCGTCGGTGGCCCTTTTGCAGGCGCCCGTTTTCAAGCGATTCAAGGAGTCGCTTCAGGGGCAGACGCAAGCCCGGGCTGACGGCCCGGCACGCCACATATTTCCCCCGAACAAGACCGCCGATCTGATTGCATCGCCCTAGCAGTACTCTCATGGCATGCTGAAAATGGCCGTATGCTTCCGGGAAGAGTCGATGATCCACGTAGTAGGCTTCAAAACAGACGAGAACAAGCCGCACTAACAGCGGGAAGATTTGGATCTCGAATTCTTCCACCAATGTCCCACCTCCCACCTCATCCCCTTGAGTCGAAAGCGTGTAAGCCTTCTCCAGGTGACGGCGTCCTTGTTTGTCAACCGCGTCAAGCGTCGCGCTGCAGTTGCGCACGTCATACTCTGGCGGTCCAATATCAGACGCCAGGTACTCGATAATACCTTTGTAGACCTGGATTAGGGAAGATATTTTATGCTTTAGAGGCTCAAAATCAAAATCAACTTTGTCGTCATTGGAAGCTATGTTCCGAGGGCACATGCTCTGGACAAGCTTTTTCCAATTGGAGCCCTGGCCGTCAAGTTCAGAGGCTTCCTTGAACCACGCGCTATCTTCCGGGCGTTCAGCCCCATGACTCTGCTGATCCGGGTTCTCTTGGGTAGGCCCGTCCTGGGTGGCAGACCTGGCTATGGCTCCCTGGGAAGCAAATTCCGTAGCATGTTGTTCCCCACGGTGGTTAGCGTCACGGGAGGGCTGGGGATTATCGGCGGGACTCTCTCTGGGAACAAAGGAGCTGGTCTGCTGACGAGCAGTGGACGTTGGGTGTTCGGGCTGTATGTTATTTTCTCCGGCCGTACCCTGTGAGCTCGTAGTCGAGTGTCTCCGTTTCGTGGATTGCCGTGGTGGGTCTGAGGACCGCGGACTTGCTTCCGCAGAATGATGCTGAAGGTCATCCTCGGATGAGCTAGGTTCAGGCGAAGGCACCGATGATGAGGATGCCTCTGATGGTTGGTATGGTGGGTCTTCGTCCTGTGTGGTGCCGACAGTATTGGCTTCTTGGTTTGGTGTTCGCGTTTCATTATCCCTCGATGGTTCACCCGCTTGGTGGTCCACCGTTTTTGAGATATTAGATGATAAAGGCGTTGCTGTACTTATCTCAACCGCAATTGTGGAAAATCGCTGTGTCGATGAAGCATCACTGCGGCTGGAGTCTCGCCTATCGGCCGGCTGTTCGGGTGCATCTCTCCACGAATTGTTGCTCGTATCTTCATTTGATTCTACCAATCTTGGTTCTGAAGCTATGTCGCTGCCAGACAGTGTCTTGGGTTTACGACCAGGAGTCTTCTGGCTGGAAGATGGTGATGGGGTAGGCTGGCCGGTAGACTGCTGGGCGTCTCCATCATTATTTGAAAAAAGTTCCACTTCTGATGCCAAATCTTCGCCATCAAGCATCTCTTCGTCACTCTTGGACGATATATGATCGCCTTCATTATCACGTTCAGCGTCGCTTAACGAGTAATCTTCGGCTGGAGTCTCAGCACTTGGGCGTGGGGAAATTACATGAGTGTCATCCCCGAAACCCTCTTCTGCCTTTCCTAAAGACTGCACCTCACCTGGCTCATCTGACTGATCGCCAGACTCGTGCTCGGATTCTGGGCTTTTGGGAGGCTGCAATATTTGATCGCTCCCATCCCGAGTGGATCCATCAGGCACGGGTCCCGAGAACCTTAATGACCGACGGGGAGTGACTTCGATCGGGTGGGCATGTCTTGGCCTTTGGGGGACAGTTTGAGAAACCGGACCAAATCCATCAATCATATCTGTAGCATCTCTCCTGACAGAGTACGTGAGCCGACGCGAGGGATGCGGGGTGGCGGGACCGGGTCGATTCGCCCGGGACGCAGTCCTCTGCGTGTTAGTATCCATGAGGCCATTCAAAAGGTCGACCGCCTGCAGGGTGGAATCGCGCTTCCTCCTCCGCTGCACAGGACGCGGCGAGTCCGACATATTGAACACCCATGAAATGCAGAGACAACAGCAAAGCAAATCAAAGCATACCAGCCCCCCTGGAAAATAATAATTGTCAAGCCCGTCGGAGATCAGGGACGGCGGCGAAGGAGCTGGTTGGTGGGAAGCTTGGATTGCGAAGTGCTTCCCGTGATCGGCGGGCGTCATCACTTGGCCGCCTTATCGATAAGGCCCCGCCCCCTGCCAGATTGCGAGCCAACCTTCCGCCATCCTCCCCCCACCATCCTTCATTTCCCTTTTCTCTCCACCTGCTTCGACACTCGTTTGGTTACCATCTATCCAAATCATTTCCCCCGCGCTTAGCTACATCATGGCCGCGGACATCCCTTCAGTCCGTGTGTTGCCCACCCTCGACCCCGCGGTGGGACACACATTCGCCCAGCCCACCAAACGTATTCACGAGCACAGCGATGTCTCCGAGTTTCTGTGTTCTAAAGCTTATGTCGACCTTATGACATTTCTCCTCCAGCTTAATCGGTCAATGTTTCCAGCCAAGCTTGAGGATGGGCGCGTTCAGACTTGGCCCTTGAATTCTGATGCTGTGGAGTACTCCGCGCCGGTTCGCCAACTCCAACAGCTGCTCTCCAAGCTAGAAGCTATTCTCGAGGAAGCTCCCCCCGATAAAGGCCCCCGTAGATTCGGCAACATCAGCTTTCGGAGGTGGTACGAGATTGTTGAAAGCCGTGTTTCCAGCCTCCTCGAGGAGTGTCTCTCTCCGGAGGTTCTCAATCGCAAGTCAGCGGACCCCGAGGGGCCTACGGCGGCAGTAGAGCTCAAGGCATACTTTTTGGGAAGCTGGGGAAGCCCTCAACGTCTAGACTATGGTACTGGTCATGAACTGAGCTTTCTGGCCTTCCTGGCTGGGCTCTGGAAGCTGCATGGATTTCCACAGAGCACTCCTGGTGTCGAAGAGAGAGCCATTGTTTTGGGTGTCATTCAGCCGTGGGTATATCGCTAGTCTCTGATTGAACGACACTGATTATTGCTAGATACCTTGAGCTAGTGCGAACAATTATCAAAACTTATACCTTGGAACCCGCCGGTTCCCACGGCGTGTGGGGACTCGATGATCACTCTTTCATCCCCTATATTTTCGGCTCAGCGCAGTTTGCTCCAGCTATATCTGAGACGGATCGAGTGCCAGAAGAAGGTTCTTTGCCGGATGCGCCTGACCCGACCGGTGTTGCCAAGGTGAACGTGGTGGAACGGGAACGTCGTGGAAACCTCTACTTTTCTGCCATCGGCTTTATCTACGACGTGAAGAAGGGCCCATTCTGGGAGCACAGTCCAATGCTCTACGATATTTCTGGCATCAAGACCGGCTGGGCCAAGATTAACAAGGTATTTGTGGTGCAGTTGGAGATGTACTCCGTACACTAACTGGAGACAGGGGATGATCAAGATGTACAACGCCGAAGTGCTGTCCAAGTTTCCCGTGGTACAGCACTTCCCGTTCGGCTCTCTGTTCAGCTGGGATCGCGATCCAAACGCCATACCTCAGCCCTCTACCGTCCACACGTCGTCCGCGCCACAACCTCGACAAACCGAAGCTCCCCAGGCATCTGGTCCAGGAACTAAAGCCCCATGGGCTACATCTCAAGCTGTCCCTCCAACCAGCGGAACTGCCGCACCCTGGGCAACAGCACGAGGTCCGGCTAGAGGACCAACTCTGCCCGACACGTCCCGGCTACCGCCCGGCCCGATGGCCCCGACGAGGGCCCCATGGGCAAATGCAGCCCCAGGGCCGGCTCCTGGTGCTGCCGACCCTCAAGGGGACGTAACGACTAAGGCACCCTGGGCTAAATAACCGGCTACTCCTGCTTGATCGAGCATTTTCTGTACTTATACCCTTGCATGATATCATTTGCATACATAAGTGAATCGTAAAAAGTTGACATGCCGTTATGCCATAACTCCAAACCCGGGGTATCATCCGTTTTAAACCAACGCAACGCCTCGTAGAGATGCAAGAACCACAGGATACACTCACTCCGAATCCGACGCATAGCTCACCAACGCAAGACTCGGACGGGGTGTCTCTTCCACCTCCCCAGAGCTCTTCTCCATCTCCGAGCCATTCTCAGCACTCTCCTTCCCATCACTGGACTTACTCCCAGAGACAACCTTCCTCCTCTTCACCTCAGGCCTCCACGCATCGGAATCACCACTCAAAAACGGATCCACCGCAGCCCTCGTATTCCCCCTCAACTCACTCCGAAAAGCAGCCTTCCGATCCTCCAGCACCTCCTTAGCCTTCATCCTCTTCCCCTCCTTCTTCCCCCAAGCAGCCCGCACCTCTTCCTCCCCAAACAACGGCTTCATCCTCGCCCTCCGTCCATCCACCGCACCCTCCCCAAAATCCACCAACCCGGCCCTGACCCGATCACTCTCAATCTCATCAACCACCTCAATCCCCAAACTCAACTTATCCTTCAACTTCTCCCTCTCCTCCTCCTTCCTCTCCAATCCCTTCCTCTCCGCCCGAAAAACCTTCCTAATCCTGCGACTCTTCTCATATGGATCCTCCCAATCCCTCTTCTGTCTCTCCTGCAACTCCAAAATCCGATCCCGTTCCTCATCCCCACGCTTCTTATCCACCACCTTCCCCTCTAACCTCTCCAACGCATCCATCTTCCCCTTACTATCCACCCCAGTAACGATCTCCCCCACCTTCCTCCCCTCCTCATCAACTCCATAATCCCTCCTCCGCGCACCGGAAATAACCACATACTCCGTGTTCTTCGGGTCTGTGTGTATCTCGATCCACCCGCCACAAGCCCCGTGCTTCATTCGGAAACTATATACCGGTGTGCTGTAGTAATTCCCGATTTTCTTTTTCTCGGCGTTGAAGCGGACTCCTTGCCCGATGATGGTCTCGTGCGGTTGGCATGTCGTGCACCAGATCGCGAACGGCATCTCGAAGCGCACGGTTAGGGCGCCGGTGGATTGTAGGTTGCGGGCGCGTGAGCCGAGGGGGTGTTTGTTGTGGAGTTTGTTTCCCGTTGTGAGGCCTTCCAGGTCTGGGGGGACGTAGCGTCCCATGTCTGGGGGTGGTTAGTGGGATGTGGATGGTGAGGGGAGGGGGGTGTATGGGACGTACTGAAGCCTTGCATGGTGGGCTGGTGGGTGTGTATGATGCCGCAAGTGGTGGTGTTGAGGGTATAGAGATGTTGCTCGGCGAGCCAGCGCGACGGCGGCGGTTTGGGGCGTTGGACGTGACGATAAGGTTGATGCGATGCGATGCGCATGCGATGCCGCTGCCTTGTTCCGAGGTGGTGTTGTGCTGATGAGTCAGCTGCATTATTGATGTGCATAAATTGCTCCGGGTCTCAACGTCATCTCTCGGAATTGAGTACCGAAGAATCATGTCTCACGAGACTAGTCAGAGGTGAGAGATATTGATTTAAAAGATGGAACTACAGCTTGATTAACTTTGGTTTTTCCAGTCTACACAAATACTAATCGTACATTATCTGTGTCCAAATTTATCAGTGGACTCCTGATATCTTGCAGGCTTTCGAATTTATGTTATTACTCAAGATAGTACTCATGACTCGCAAACGATCAATCAAATCATATAATTCTTTTGAGTGTAGCTAGTGTTAAGATAGGAAAGTAACCCACGGTCAACGCCGACTTGATATCGCCACCTGAGAAACGTCTCAGATCCACCGGACATCTTCTCTTATACGGAGATCTCAATCCTCAACCCTGCCAGCCTTTAACACTATTATTCCAAAGCTGAATAGAGAAAGTCGGGGACGCAGGAGGCTTGAGGAGGCCAGAGCCGTACAAGATTCCCTCCTTCCAATTGCACGGCGCGACTACTTCGGTGGGCATAAACCAGTTCACGAAAAACCTAGGCGGACTTGGTGAGCTTGAGGGAATACCTTAGGAGTAAACTAGTATAACTTACAGGGTAGATGATTCGGGGACCCAGACCAGATCTTCACAGGTACGATGAAAAGGAAGCCATCCCCAGCTAACCATTTTTCTTGAGAGAGCAGTTAGCGATAGTCTTGGGGTTATCTAACAATTAATTGGATAGTCAGGGATATAAAGGTCAGCTTACAGGTAATTCTCCTTAAAGGAATTGCGAATTTGGTCACGGACACAGTACTCCATTGACCAGAAGATATCGTCACTCTCTTCATCTCCCAAGCGAATACCTGAGATCACCTCAGAGACCACCCAGACTATGAAACCCCCAGGTACTAAGCTGTCGGCATCTTGTTTTCCCTCCAAGCTGTCCAGGAGTTTAGGGGTAAAGGTCGAAACCTTGAGCATGAGCTGGCGGTATGCTCTGAGCTCACGGGGAACCCAAACTTTCGCTTGCTTGGCTCGTACTTCGGGGCGGTCGCCGACTGTCTCCTCTGTAGGGATCTGCTTGTAGATCCTCATGTTTCCGTAAACTGGCGGCTTAGAGCCCACTTGTCGTACCTTCAGCAAGATGAAGGCATATGGACGACATTGCTTGGCAGTTCTTTGCTCGCTGCCCTGCATAACTACCTCCTCTTCGTGACTCAGAATGCGCCATCGCTTTGCCAGCTCAACGACGACGCTTGGGCTCACCTCCTCCCGACCAAACCAGCGAGGAGACATGATTGTCACTATGGATGATCATGTTTCCGCACTAAAAGGGATAGTAAAGGTATACTGGTCGCTGTGAGAATAACCGGCCGAGTTTTATGGTTTGTAGTCGTCATCATTACATGTCGAGGCGCGAACTACAGTGAAGAACAAGCGAAACAGCAAAATGCAAGCAATACGAAGGAAATGAATGGAGCAATAGAGTCCTCGTATTGACTATATAGAGCGCGCAGCGAAACGAGCGCGATGAGCTGCTTTGTTGTGGCGGGCTGAGCGCCAACCAGGTTGACCAAGCCTACATGACTGCCTCAACATTACATTGTATGTCGTCGCTTGAAGCTGTCTGGACCACGAGTAATATCCAGGTATTAATGTATAGGTTGATGCTGTTAATAATGTACCTCGTGGCTCAACTTGTGGCTTCATGAGCAGCGCAATGAGGGATCGGCGCGCTAAGCCCCGCCTCCGCCCTCTCTCCAGCCCGAAAGAGTAAACGACAAGGCTGACAGGCGCTTCACGAGAGAATATGAAGGCCCGCCTCCCACTCCACTTCTTTTATTCAAATACACTGCTAGAATGGCAGGTTCCATTCAGAACATAGTGGCAACTCCGCTACATGCTGTTGCCGAGTCGAACATTGCTCTTGCCCATGTGAACTTTGATTTCTCACTGGTCAAAGTCGAGGCGCCTGCCGAACTTCAACCCGTGGGAAGACAGCTTTCTCAAGCCCGGCGACAGTCTGCGGAAGACGGTTCATTTCACATTCTGGCTCGGCGCCTAGGTGTGCTATTTGATGATGTTCTGCCGGAGGTACCACTATTATTGGAGGCGTATGGGACTCGTGCTAGTGAAATAGCCCAAGAGACTTCCCAGAAATTACACCAACCGAGAAACATCGTGGATGGGTTCTTTGGAACCCATCTAGGCATTGATAGCACGACAATATGGGCTAGTGCAACTAGTGGCAGGTCGGTGCTTCGCATTCATCTTCTCGCATGTTTTTTGGCCCGCATCTGGACTCATCAGGAAGCAACGGGGGTTTGGAAGGATATTGTAGAACATCGCCAGGCAATGATTAGAAGACAAGCTCAATCATCTGAAATTATGGATAACTACTTGGCGCAACTAGCTGCCGCCCATGAAATCGATGAAGCGCTATTAGCAAGCTGGGATTCCAGTGCTCGAGCCTGGTTACAAATCGCAGACCAAGCGAAGAAGAAAGAGCAGATCCAGGTGCAGTTAATTGTCAACAACCGTTCAGTGGCAGTAAAGGACCAAGAAAATTCCGATGACCAGCCATCTCCAAAGCCAAACAGCTATGACAGTGTTATGTCTAATTTTAACCGCGCTTTGACTGCGATGGAAAGCTTGATCAAGGGGGAGCCACAAAGAATAACAGACGCGGGAATCATGCTCGGCTTAACCTCGTGGCATCTCTATCCGGATTTGGTAGTACTTACATCAAGTACAAAGGAGATATCCCAGAAAGATCGACTGGTGAAGGAAGGCGGAATCGTCACTATTGCAATCGCTCCTGAAACTGGCCCGCGTGCAGATGGAGTATATTGGTCTTTGCCACTGGCGAGTCTTCGTTACTACGGCACTGTTAGACGCGAACGATCGACTATGCATGACTCCAGAATCTCAGTGGAGCAACTACAGGCCTTAGCACTTGGTGCTTCTTTGGGCTCCTATGATAATGCAGTATCTGCTGCAAAATTCATAGGGTCACTCTGGAGGCTCTTTCATTATATATACCAACTCAAATTGCATCAGATCGCCGAGAAACCACTGGAGCTTCCCGAGGACTTATCACGGTATAGTGTGGTTGACCTTATCGACGATCGGGAGTCGCTTAGGTCAATCATGAAACTGCTACAACTGATGTTCCCCCTCAGAGATGGCATCAAATTGCTGCTCTCGGATGATTCTGGAGAGAGACAGATCGCAATGCAACTCTTGCGATACGGCACCAACTATGGAAGATCCTGGCTTGGAAACGATGCAAGCTCATTGTCGGTGTTCCTTTGTCTAACCAATCTGCAACCCCTGCTCGGAATGATTCGATACTCTGGTGGACGAATCAATATTCTTCGCACGCTATGCTCCAAGTATCAGCTCAAACCGTCTAAATATGTGATTCGCTTCCGAACTCGGCACAACTCGTGGGCATTCTCGCCTATATTACACAACCATCCCGTAGGTGTTCATGGTGGCATGAAAAGGAAGCGAGATGAATATGAGACATCAGATGCAGACATTATTGAGTGCGTCGAAGTCCCACCAGGAGAGGACTGGATTTGCATTGCTACGCCAGCGACATCGAGGGAACATGCTGTTCCAACCAGCGCACCTGGTGCCTTCGAGGACATATTTGCAGAGCTTATGGAAGATAGTCCGCAGACCAGAGAATCTGTTCTATTTGACTTTGTGTTTGGGGATCATAACCTCGCAGCCGTTTACAGAAGGCGAACCATCCAGTCACCACCCAGTAATAAGCCACTTCCGAACACAGTTCCACTGTCAATGGTCCAAGATCTGCTTGATAGAAATGCTTTGATGCCCGAGAAAGTGGCCGAATATATATTGGACCGGTTCGGGTCGACACAAGCTCTTCATGAGAACTCACTTCTCGCTCTTGGACGGGTAATAGACTACTACAAACACTACTTGCCTCAGGCTACGGTATCTATGAGCGTCATAAAGAGCCCTATGACCTCGTGGAAATGGGTCCCATCATTGTTGCACCCGCTTGATCTATCAGCCTCTCTCGCCACGCAGCAAGCTCGCGAAGGATTTATTCCTAGCTCCGTTTATTTAAGTCTACTATCTCGAGAACATGCATTTGCAGCTATCCTCCAGTTTGAGTCCGGTACAATCAGTCTGGATACCCCAGACCTTGAAGCGGTATTTGCAATTTCCAGTGGCAACTCTCTTTTCATTGCCAAGCAACTACTATACGATCCTACTCCAGCAGATAGAATCGCGCCCTATGCCGTTTCTCATGCCATCGGAAACGTGGGGAAACCGGGCATTGCTCTCCTTGTTTCCCCGCCCGAACTGGAGATACGAGAGCACACGCTTGAGCGGTGGCGCCTTGTCAACCATCATCCATTTGATGGAAATCCAGTGGGTGGAAGGTTTGACGGTACATCGCTGCATTTGTCATTTACTGGATGGGATGGGCCTGTGAGCTTGGATTCTACCAGCTACAGAACCATGGAAGCCTACTATCTTCAAACAACCATCTCCGTCAATGATGGCGGGGAGTGGGTGGGAGATGTGGATATCCTTAAAGGTCTGACTGATGTTCAGTTCCTAGCCTATCCTTCCTTCTCAAGAGGATTATGCAATCACGATTCTAGCTTCCAGACAGCCCCATTGAAATCGGCTGGAATGATATCTATCGATTGTTGGGAGGAGATTCTAGATCCCCCTGAAGGTGTTCTCGTGCTCCGTTCGACACCGGTAACATCTAATGACTCCAGAAATTGGCAATGGATGGTCCGATTAGCTGCAATAAGCATGGCATCTTCCAAGGGATACAAATGCTTCTGTTTACCTCTAGATAGAGACATTTGCTGGACCTGTATTGTTGGACAGATAGGTATCGACGGAGGAAAGCAACTTGTCGTGTGCTAAGTATGAATCAGTACTCTGCAATCTTGCTATCAATTTTGGAGTTCAAGGGAATGAGCTCAACACCTTTCCGGCATGACTGCTAGTTATCAAGGGTAGTCGTAGACCCTAAGGGCCTCGTGCTATTTGCTATTATCGAACAATGACCAAATGAATAAGTCATATCAGCCATAGTTGTACTGAATTTAACAGAGACGTGCGACACTGATCAATGGAAGTGCATTATTAAATGAGCACAAGCAACTCCACACGGTCATGAACCATTTCAAATAGACTCTGCTCATAGACAAGTGTGGAGAACTTCGAATAGTCCAATGTCAAACATCAAGAATGGCAAACAAGCAAACACCATACAAACGATGCTGAAAAGATGCGTATAAGAGCTCAAGTAATACAAATAACAACACCAAAAGCCAATGGAGTGTCGAGAAGAACACCAGAGTGACGAACTTGATTCGTTGGCTCCCGGAATCAGACACCATTTATTCAACCAATCGCTCGGCCAATTCATGACTCGTTATCATAGAATGCAGATCGATGTGCGGAGCAGCCAAAGCCTCTCAGCCCTGTCAACCATGTCAGCATGCGGTCGCAATATAACATAGCCTAATCGCACCCACCCTTTGGAAAAGCAAGTATATCAGCCGAAAGAAATACGCTCACCACTACCAACCACAACATCATCTGGCAATCTGAAGAAAAACGATGCCAAATCGGACCCACCACCCGTGGTGCCCCCCTTACTCGCATTTCTTCCATTCGCCGAGATACCACCGGTCCGGGTGGTCCTGTTCCCACTGTTATTGTAGTGGTAGGCGGTCGCAGTATCGGCCCATGTGGTCACATTCCTACTGCTGTTGTAGTTGGTGGTCGTATTACCGCAGTTCTCCGACGTCGTGTTGCCACAGTTGGTCGAGGTGGTATTTCCGGTGTTGTTGTTCCAAGAGAAGCTGTTGTGGCTTCCACCGTAGGGGAAGCCGCCGTTCCAGGCCCATGGGTTTGAATTGTCATATTTGCCTCGCTTCCAGCTTCTGTGACACATGATGTGGTGGGGAAGTTAAGTATTGGGATGATTCAATTTAGTGTTCAAGTAAGCAAGAAGTAGTAAGTGAGAGAGGGGTGAGCTTTGGTTGGAGAAGAATGATCAATGCCTGCAATCCGTGTGTTTTGGCTGGATTTATAACCAGATATCTCATTACATCATTGCAAAGGCCTGGCTGCACAGGTACCTGAGTGGCTACTTTGGTGGCAAGGAGCTGAGGAGTTGGGTACAAGGCGTTCAGGTAACTCCGAAGTAGGGGCGCAGATGCCGCAGGTAAATCGGCTTGCTGTATGCACAGCCACAAAGAATGTATTCTGGGGGAATAGAAATCGTACCAAGTGATGCAATAGCACTTCGGGAATGAACTGCACTGCCCTGCACTTTGAGCTTGATTCGGCCCTAAATCCATTAAGTCTTATAGCAGTACCGCAAAGCACACGAACTTCTCAAGTATAGTGCAATTGACGAATTAGGACTCTTATTGCAGTATATCTTTAACTGACAGTTCCGTTTCTTTCTTTCGAATACACACTTTTTCTCTACAGAAAGTCTGATGAAGCCAAAGCACATCGTAGCAAAGGCGAACTGGTCCCCATTGACAAGGCTGTGCTGGCCAGCCGCATATTTCGAGTCATGCCCTGTTGATCCCTACCGAAAGGGCAAAAAGATTATTCAGATAATATGCATCTATATGTAGGTTACGACAGATTTGAAGGCTTGGGTAGTGTTACATGTCGTAACACCAATATGGCGGTGGAAGTGGATCGGATATGTCTGTCCGATACGCCGATCGCTGGGACGATTGGACAACTCCTATTCCACGGCCACCCCGTAGACACGTCCTACACATGCATACGCTGACCATTGCTGCTCGCAAGCTGTCTAACAATGTCCGCCATCTTTCACTATGTTAGGGCAGGCTCGTCGATCTGGCAAGATATACCCCGCGGAGAAGGATGAACAAATAGAAGAAAAAAATAACACAGAGTTTGGCGATTGCTTCTCCACTTCGGTCAAGCTTCAAATCGTCTAGCCGTCGATGTGCCGCATCTTGTCGAGTCACAGGGTCTTATTATCCACCGGCTCTCTATATTAACTCGCTCTTTACCCTCACCTACTTTGCGTCTTTCGCTTAAGGAATCAAAATACTAATCAGACCGGGTATTTCGCCAGAGGTTTCCATCACGTGCAGACTTCGGACAATGTCAAGGGTGGAGATGGTGGCACGCTTGAACTCTGAGTACCCTCATTAGTCAAGAGGCCATGTGGCTAAGCGTAAGGACACGGGATTTGTATAGCTGCTTCTATCTCTGACCCAGGTTCTGGTGGTTATGACAAAATCACACATTAATATTGTGAAGTAAAGTCGTGAGAGTGCGACAAAAGCTAGAGACTAGTGCTTTGTATTGTAGGCTACAATGTTAGCGTAGTGGGGATTTCATAGTCTAAAGAAACAGACATGGAGCCTTGTTCCTGTCGTTCAACAAGTGGCATGTAATTAGGATCATGCATAGACTTTCGTTTCGAACGCAAAATTCAGCAGTATAGAACGCTGAGGCGAACCAGGCTCGGCTGGTCTACAGCGAGACAGTTGCAAAATTTGCAATGAGCAGACCCCTCATGGCTGCCTGACTTATGTACAGCGGTAAATCTAAAGACTGGCAGTGAATGCAACCCAGAACCAATAAACGTATGCAATAATTACAAATATAGCATATTCGTGCAGGTAGCCGCTAGATTCGGTGACATATGATGTGACAGGTGCTAGCCGGGACTCAGCTGATTCTCAACTCCTGCGTCTGCGGCAGAACAGACAGTCTCACCCCATTCTCAAAATGTGACCTCCTATCAGATGTCGTCATCAACATCGGGGAGCTGCCAACCCCGAGGGTGATTGCAATGTCGCCGAGTAAATTAAGTGTTACTTTGACGGGTGATCGACCGTCACAAGTAAGCCTTATCTGCAACCCTCCCGAGGACGGCTTCCCGTTCAGCAGCTTCCATTCTGAACTATCGGGGAATGATGGAAGGGTTTACCCTGCCTAGTTTGCTACTACTTACGGTACGCGTGGCTAAGCTGACACCTCCTGGCTCGCCTTCGCCTTTCGGGTAGGATTTACTTGCTTTCATAATTCCTTCTCCCAGATACTTCGGGAATCAGCTGAATTAACGAAAACGGACAAGCCTTACTAATGGAGACTAAACTTAGGACCGCGAGGTTTGGAGCATGAACAGAATGTATAAGGCGGCTATTCTCCCAAGCTATGTCACGATCGATCTTCTCTCCATTGTTTTCTTTCCACTTTTCACATACCGCACCACAGAATCACCGCGCCGCTTCCAACCCCCCCACCCCCCACCCCCTACCCCCTCTCCCCTGGTTATCTGAAGTCCTAAGCCATGAATTACCGTATCAAGAAAAAGTTCGGAAAACTTAACACCAAACAGTGTAAAGCACTCGCAAAACATGGTGGCAGGTGTAAGAAGCGCGCAAAGAGTTCCGGCTCATATTGCCAACATCACAAACACCTTATGCTGGAAAAGGATAAAGATCTCCCCCCACGCCTAATCGAAAGTCAAAATGAGGGAGGTCCTACATTAGTGGTGCACGATATCACACCAGATGAGATGGATATGTCTGACAGCACTGTATCGAGCGTTCCACTTGAAACGAATTCTGAAGATGATGCACCAATGCGGGATACGCCAAACTCGGATGCCGAGCCATCGTCAGCCAGCCCTTACCAAAATGGCTCTCAACGACAAGCTTCAGTGACCGAAGAAGTTAGTACCACGACGCCGACCGGACTCACTGAGGGCAATGACAATACTGGCGCAAACTCATACCCACCAAGGAGTCTCGACTCCCCACCCGAGGTTGACTTCGCGGAAAAGGAGGCTAAACGAAGTAACAACGAAAACACTGGCTTCTATTCATCAATCAATCAAAACAGTGGAAACACGATGAATATGAACTGCGGGAACACGATGCAACAGAATTGCGGAAATACCACGACGAATAACGATTCCTCACGAAATATTCGTGTGAGTATATGGCCGTGTGCTACTCGTTGTTTATCAGGATATATACTAACAGATTCACTCAGGTGGCTCGACAATATAAAACCGTCATCATCAATAAGTACGGCGGGTTCTTCAAAGAGGATGACCCGATTATCGAACAGCTGGTGCGAAAGGCAGCAGCTGAGATGAGGAATTTTATTCAACAATACAATGTGCCTGCTGGCAAAGAAACGGCCATGGTGGAACTGGCATTATTTGATATGGTTGTTGTCTGTGGTGAGTTTATTGACAATGCAGGGAAGGCTCGACCAATACCACTTCTGATGAACTAACATCTTTTGCGTGTTCTAGATAATAGTCTCTCTATGTATAAGTACAAGAAGGCCATGCAAAGGACATTGCGAGAACTTGTCAAGATCTCTTCTCTTCTCTTGCCAAAAGGAATTACGATCCAGTTTCTCAATACCAACGGCGACAAAAAGGATCTGTACGAGAACATAAATACGGGCGATAAAGTGGACAATATATTCAAGGATGCTAGTTTCCTCGATATCAAGAGAGTGGTTTGGAGCTCTCCAGAGATAGGCGACGTTGTCAATCGGGATATTGTCCATCCTATGATTATTAGAAAGGCCCGTGCAGGGGAGCTTAAGAGGCCGGTGATAACTATAATGCTTACTGACGCGGAGGTAAGGAAATCCCAATTTATAATAAGTCGATAAGGCTGTTGATATCTGCGCTGACAAATTTCGTAATCAAAATAATAGATACGTTCAGCTCAAGGCCGGGAGACACTCAAATCAACCATTCGCTCTTGTAAAAATGCACCTGACCTGAAGGAGTACGGTGACAAAGCAGCACTCTTCGTCCTCTCTCGAGTGGGAAATAATAAACGAGGAAAGGAATTTGTCAGTCAACTGGAAAAGGACAGTTCAATCAATGATATGCTACACTGTTCTCCAGATAGTCTGGATAAGTGGTTGGCAGACTGTCAGAAGATTGGCAATGAAAACAAGTATACAGGAAAGGTGAGTACATCTGCACTATTTCAAGCCTTCTACGCGTCAACACTAACTGTAAACAGCTCATTGAACTTTTTCTTACTGCCTTGGACCGCAATGGAACTGCCTGATCGGAATCGACTTCCCCACATTATTCTAACTACGGGCCGACACCAATACAGTTGTACGTTGTATCTCGGACAGTATCCTTGGGTCCTTCAGGAGTATATAACACTCTTCGTTTCAAGGATCGAAGGTTCTCAGTACCATCTACAAGTTTGGTATTTAAGGTTATCTGAACTGTGATTATGAAGCAATGCAATGGAGCGGGAGAAATGAAAGCGTAGTGAGATTGTAGTGAGATTGTAGTGAGATTGTAGTGAGATTGTAGTGAGATTGTAGTGAGATTGTAGTGAGATTGTAGTGAGATTGTAGTGAGAGTGTAGTAAGAGACGAGTAAATCACTCACACAGAGAAATATACGGTTATTAATACTGCTGACGCACTGACCCTCCTACATTTCAATGGCCAAAGATACATTCATATGTTTCACATCAAAAGGCTGACATCCTTCTGAGTATCACATCTAACCCCAATATCCCAACCTATTTCGCTCTGTCAACCATACCCTGCAACATCGCCACATCCATCGTATACAAACCCGACCCATCATCAGCCAAAAACACCGAAGGTCCTCTGCTAACCATCAAAAGCTCCGTTTCATGCTCAAACGGAAGAGGATCATGCACGGCTCCCTTGCTTTCCGAAACGTAGTCCCCCTGAACAAATGCGCCAGTCTGGGGGTGGGCACCGCTTCCTTTGAGAACGTAAATCTCCGCACTTTCAACATGCCGATGGCGAGGAAGGAGACCGCCGGGTTCGGCGCGGACCATGATTGTGTATTCTCCGGTCTCTGGGACTAGCTTGACGATCTTGATAAATACACCCGGGGCAAGAGGAAGCCATTTCAAGCTGTCGCAGTGGACTGTGAACCCTGCGTCGTTGTCTGAGTGCATGTCAGGCGATGATCGGCTGTTCACTTGTGTAGGGTGGTGATGATGCCTTGCGTCGGCTTTGGGATTGTTTAGCTGCTTGTATGTGAGGATTGGGGAGTATTGAATGCGTACTTGAAGGTTTTGAATGGAAGTATTGGGTCCAGGTATTCTTCAAATTCTTTTTGTTGATTATCTTATGAATGTGAGATATAGATTTGGGATGATGGACATATTAAGTGGAGCTAAACTTAATATAGAATAGCCGACTACCCGAGTCACCGGAATCCCGAACAAAAACAGAAAGAGTCCGAGTGCCAGTCGAGACGTCCGCTGTGATCCCAGCTGACTGATCCCGCCCCGCCCCCCTACCCCCGAAAAAAGAGAAGAATTGGAAACCTCCGTTCATATTTCAAAAGGATCCATACCACTGCTAAGCCAACCCGCTGGGATTTGGCTATTGAAAAGCTGCCACATCAGCCAATCGGCTGAGGCGTCCAACTCCGAGTTTGGTATTGGTTCATCACTTAGCCCGAAATTGCTATCGAAGGAGGCGCTCGGAGGAATGCCATCCGTAGTGACAGGTTCCATTGCTTGATTCGGGGCGGATGCACGGAGGTTTGATGATATATTTTCTGGACCAGAACCCGCCTCTTGGAACAGCGGCTCGCAGAGATCTTCCAACGACTGGAGAAGATTTAAAAGTTTTCCAAGGTGTGGATCTTGCTTGAACTGTGACAAACTCTGCGTTATTTGTTGAAGCAGTTTGAAATCGCCATGATCCAATGTTCCGATGATGTTGCAGATGACCACGAAGAAGGCGCTTAGTGGGTAGAAAAACAAAGTCCTGTTTGATAGTCAACAAATGAAATGGATACGTCCAGGAGTATCAGCGAACCATGTCAGAAATGATGGATATGGCTCTTCAAACCCCGGCATTTCCTCCGCATGCTGCTGGATAAAGTGAAATGCTCCAAGTGACTGTCGGGCATGTACGAGACATTCCCTGTGTATTACTGGACTAAACGAGCTTTTTAAGCGTGTTCGGTCGATCTCGACGAAAATCGCGTAGTAGCAGAAGTCGACCGCAACCCAATCATATTGTACCATTTTCGGGAGGGATGCGCGATTCTAAATGAAGCGTTGTTAGGGGTAGAAGCAACTTTATGTGGTCCTGGTACACATACCGACGGCATTTGTCGAAGAATGCTCTGCATCCTGGACTCAAGGAGCTGACAAGTCTCCAAAGCCTGGCTATTCGAAGCATTCTTTGTGTCAGAAGACACTGCATGTAATTTTCCCTGAACCTGTGCGAGGTCAAGCAGGACACGCAAAAGCGTATCATATGGCGAACATGGGTCTAAGACAATGAGATCCGTCGGGGATACCTCGAGATCAGGCAATGACGGAGGGCGACTGAGAAGTGAACTTAACGTCCGATCAAGATAGTAGCACCAGTATACCGCACTATATACCTCTAACTCCGAGTCTGAGCGCGCTGGTACCCTGCGGATCTTGTGGTAGTTAAGGGATGCAATCTGTCGAGCAGCATAAGAGGTAAGGACCCAACATTGGTTCAGCCTCCCCAGGTGCTGCATAAGCAATGCCTACAGACACGATGTCAATAAGGCTGTCTTCGCCAGAGATGTCAGCGACTCAGGGACTTACACTTGAGAGTAGAGCTTGTATGGACGAGATGTCTGGCTGTTTGAGTATGCTCAGGTTCTCAATGCTCCGAATTGTCGCTGCGATGTAAGTCGACCTAGATTGGGACAGCTGTGTTTTCAGGAGCGGGCTGCGCACGGTTCGTGACACCTGATATATATGAAATATTGCTTTCACATATATGCAAATGCTATACTGATGGAGGAGTTGACCTTGTAGCCGAGGTTCACTTCGTAACAAGGCTGTAGCCATTTCTTCATATGTTTTGCGCGAGATGTGATCCGGCCACTGAATGCACATCGCTTCCGGCGGCCCTAATTTCATCAACCATGACCAAGACATAACAATGCAAGAATCTCATACCTTGTAGGAGCATAAACAACAGCTCTCGAGGGGGTGCATCCGGAATCGAAAGGGCGGGATCGTTAGGCTGAGAATCTTCCATGATTTCGTCCGAATGTTGAGGCTCACTCTCTGCAATTTGGTTCACGAGTTGGAGAGCAGAGCGAAGTATGGATTGTCTCCCGCGGTTGACATGCCTTGAGTCATTTAATTCCAGTTGAATTATGTTTTTTGCCTGTATTGCATGATAATTGGGGCCCTCGACGCTGGGTGTCGAGTGCGCAGGCGTGGTTAAGGATCGCTCCCTTGAGTCCAGAACTTGGTCGTTAGGCTGGCTGTGCTCTATAGCGGTACCTCTATTCTCGTTTCTTTCCGCTGCCCTACGGGCTGATTGCCGGTTGCTTCTGTAGTTGTTCAGCGCACCGAACCCAGAAAGACGACTCCGACAAGCTCTGGCACTTTACCTTTGTGTCTGTGACGGCTGTTTTTCAAACGTTACTATATTTTCCTGGGGCCTTAGGGTGCTGCCGTTGATTATCAGTTACTTCATATGTATAGATTACTCTTCAGCATAACATGAATGACAGCAAACCTTTGGTTTCTCTTCTTAGCTGGCCGTCCGCGCCGCCGGCGTTGGCATTCCACATCGGCATCTGCGCAATTGGCACAGTGCGCTCGACGATCACACTTTATCTATTACATCGTATTGTTGTTAGATTCAATGTATGGTTTAAGTCTGGTATTCACGGTATTGCAACCTTTTTCGCATGACATAGGTCACACTGTTTGCTCTGATTAGCGTCTACAGCTTTCCCTGAGAATTCCGGGCTATGGAGATGAGCAGAACATACGGCGGGCAGAATATCCCCAGTGACTGTGAGATCTTCCGGCATTGGCAGCAAGCTTTATCGGAAGTTCTGATGTTTTCACGACCGACTGCAAATATCTTGACAGGAAGCTATAGTTGCAAAGTATGCTGAGCTTCGAGCGTGCGGAGCGGGAAGGGAAGGGAAAATCAACCACCCGGCTGGCTTGCTGACTGAGCATTCCCAATCGCAATCACCAAAAAGGCAACTCCTGGCCACATACTCCGTGGTACTAGATCATGAGAGTTTACAGTTTTCAAGCCAACTACTAACATGCACGTAATGCTGAGCACATTAAAAAGCTGCTTTGAGCTGTTACTTCTTTCAACATGGTAACAAGTTGTTTCAATGCCACGTTTTATTCCATACTGTCTAGTTGCGCAATAATCTAAGCTCTGGTCTATTCTATCTGGACATATATTGCTAATAATACATAGGGGAAAATGATCCGCGCTCCCATTCTACCAGGGGACGTCCTGGCCTTTATAGGCTTCCCACCCTGGGACATGAATATTCTTAAACCGGCCATTGTCCACACGGTCTGCGGACATAGCAATGTTCAAGACCGCCTCTGCACCTTGAGGCACGGTCAGGTCGGCATGCTTCCCACCCATGTCACTTTGGAGCCACTGACAAGTGTCGTTAGATGCTCTGATATTAACTTTCCAGTAGATCGGGAAGTGAGAACTTACTCCAGGGCTGACTGCGAGGAAAATAAATCCTTCTTCTTGGTATGACAGCGCATACTGGACCGTTAAGGCGTTTAGTGCTGCTTTGCTGATCTTGTATGCCGGGCAAGGAGCGTACGATACTTCGCGTGCATTGGTCATCGAGCCATATGCACTCGAACTGTGATTTGAAAGCTGTAAGTACCTGGTCGAAAATATACCTATCTCATTGCATCTGATGCTTACATATTGATGATCTTCTTGACCTTGCTATTCTGCATCAAGGGAAGATAGTGGCGAAGAACGTTATGTGTTCCAGTTACATTCACTGACAACTGGTAGTCAAGGTCGGACCTATTAGTTTGAGGTCAGTCTCGGTGATGCTCTCAAAGACATGGATCTGCTAGGCTACTTACATTGACGCTAGTTTTCCATGTGTCTCACTATGAACTCCAGCGCAATTGATCAACATGTCCAGACTTTGCTCGTTTAATGCTGATCTGACTTGCTCGGCTGATTCAGCGATTCTTGATTCCTCGGAAATATCCAAAGCGACGAATACAATGCATCCATTGGACTGAGCGATAAGTTCCGTAAGCTTCGGGCTGCATTTCCGCGCCGTTGCAATAACCAATCCTCCTTCGAGGCAGGCGCGGGCAGCTAGCTGCCTCACTAACTCTAAGCCTAAGCCGCGGGAACTGCCAGTAACGAGAAAGTTCGACATCTTGGGAGGTAGCTTCTGTAAGACGTTCGATCAGTGAATTCTATTGCAAGAAGTGCAAGACATCAAATTTCATAGCAATGTTTCTGGAAATAAAAATGATCGTGCAGCGAAGTGTTTTGCCCCCTCGCCTTAGGAGATCTTCTCCGTCGCCAACAGTCCGGCCTTCCGAACTGAAAGGGTAACTGGTAACTGATCCGCGGACCCACTTTCCCGATGGAGTCGGTCTTCCTCTCACAAATGTACCATATCCGACAACACCGTCAAACCACGGCGGTTTGGCCGAACAAGCCTGTTATTGCAAGACCTGAAATGTAGAATCAGACGGGAAGAACAGGCTGGTTCAGAAGGTGAATGCAGATCTTCAGCGTTCTAGTATGACGCAAATTCAGGGAACAATGTTCTTTCGGCCGCGGACCTAGTACCACAGATATATAACCGCCACAGCGGGGTACATATTGCATAGTACTACAGAGATTCATTTCGCAGAAATTCAACGATTCACCAATTGATTGAAACCCAACACCCCCTCAATATGGCCGAACCATGCACCGTGAAGGACCATCTCAAGATGCTGGAATCATTTCTGAGTCCAGGCGAAATAATTCGTCCTACTTCCCCAGATTACCAATCGAAAGTTGAGACCTGGGCTGCCCAAAAACAACTGAACCCTCACATCGTTCTTCGACCCACAACTGTTGACTCTTTGAGCAAGGCTATTGCCTACCTTTACTCCACAAATCTGGACTTTGCTATATACGGCCATGGGTTCATGTCCGCATCCGCAAGCGATGTGTTGGTGAATATGTCGGCGTTCAATGGCTTTCACCTTGATAGAAATTCGGAACTCGCTACGGTCGGAGCTGGACAGACATGGTCAGATGTCTATCGGAAGCTGAATGAAGTCGCACCCGAATATGGAAGTAAGGATGTTTCCTCCAATCTTCCAGATCACGTATTTTGGGGGCGGAGACTGACACAACATGAATAAAGTCGTGGGAGCCCGCACCCCTTGTGTGGGCGTTGCAGGCACTATCATCAGCGGTGGCTTTTCATGGCTTTCTAGAGAGTACGGGTGTATCTCAGACCCAGCGAATATGCTGGATGCGAAAGTCGTTAAGTATGATGGCTCGGTTGTTTGGGCATCCTCGGAGCCGGATCTTTTGTGGGCCTTACGTGGAGGCGGAGGTGGCTTTGGCGGTAGGCAATACGAAGCCTTTTGTATCTGGAATGAATAGTTACTAACGTGCAAACTGTAGTCGTCGTTGAGGTTGTGCTGCGAGTGTTCCCTTATCCGCAGAATATTTGGGCTGGCCCGATTCTGATACCGCGGGAGCAGCTGGAGGTGACAGCAGATGAAATTGCAAGATTCGTTTCTCGGCCCCTTGACCCAAAGATCTCCATGTTTTTATACGTCGTGAAGAAGCGGTTGCTAAAGTCCATTGGGGCGGACTCAGATATGTTGGTACTTCATGTTTTTGATGCCTGCGGAGAAGCGCACGGTCGAGTCAACTTCCAGTGGGCCCTAAACATCCCCGGAGCTATTGACCAAACTAAGGTCACTACCTTTGCTGGTGTTGCCGATTTACAGGGTAAGGCCACATCCTCGCAAGTGCTGGTAAATATATGCTCATCATTACACAAGACAAGGTGCACATTGCCAAAGGCACCATGAAGCAGTTCTGGTCGCCGTTGCTTCTACGAGAACTTTCAAAGGATACCATCATCAACGCTGTTCACTGGTCTGAAGATATCGGAAAACTGGACGAATCGCTCAGTGACTGCACCTATTTGATCTTTGAGCTGCTATGTTCGGTAAGTCGCAGGAACCGATAAATCCGCAGGAAAATACTTCAATCTTACATACTGAATGTTCCAGCGTGACCCTGCGGGAGGAGTAGCCAGCTGCGCCTGGCCACGACCTCAAGGGGTCAAGCATATCTTGCTTATGGGGCCCGGATGTCCGGCTGATGCCGGATGTGACCACGAAGATCTGGTACGAGATCTTGCTATCAAGGCAGGCTCCAGAGTCTTGGGAGAAAACGCAGATCTAAATTACCTTCCTAATGGGTATGAAAAGTTCTATGACGCGGAAAAGGTAAGTCTGAAGACACAATCATCATCTGACCTGCTGCTTATTCGGGAACTAGATTTGGCGTCCTCATTTCGCTCAGTTGCAAAATTTGAGAAGAAGATATGACCCACTGGGCAGATTTAAGGGGGCAGTTACTCACTCTCATACCTAACTCATTAGTCAACTATGTTATTGGACGCATATGACGACAAAAGGGGAAAGGAAAGGAAGAAAACAAGAAAAGAAAAACAAAATCAAGACCTCACGATTTGCTTGGGCAATAAAAGCTGATGGCATGGGGTGATTTTCTTCGTGTGCAGGAAGTCTTCACTCAGGATAATCAGAATCAGTAGTAATGAAGTTAGTCACCCGCCTGGGCCTCCAGTATGGATATACCTTTCATTGCGATATCGGGACCTCGATAACTTAGCGTAAGCACTAGTCAGCATAACCCAATGCTTAGTCATGGGTATAAAATCCCCGGCATTAGTATGCACAGCAGACCCTGCAGATCAGTGGGTCTCAGACAGCCCCATCTTATCTTAGCCGGTCATGCATAACAACGGGATTGACTTCTGACCGGCCCCACACTGAAAGTTGAACGCCCGTGGGGCGTAACCTTATGTAACACTAGCGTATACAAATGCGCCCGCACGCAACCTCTAGCTTAAATTAACGACATTTTGTAAATCAATACGCTGACCTGCGAAAGTAAAGTATATAAGCAGTAGAGGACCACACCACAATCTGTTCTCCAAAAACACTACAATTACGCACAAACCTATCAGCTTGGATTCGTGGTGCTACAAAGACGAAAAGTGTCTACTCCCTAGCGTTTCCGGCAAAGACACAGTGAAGCTTTGGGTGAAATCATTGTTCCATGAGAGTGCGAGAGGTACGAGAGAGCTGCTAGTGCCAGTGCCTCTGAAGTATGTAGAGCTCCCTTCCGGGCTCAAGGGGGTGGCAGTACTTGAAGCGTGATTGCGTTACTGAAGGTTCTGGGCATTAAACTCCGTGTGCAGTACCAGTTGAGGCGCGATTTTACGTGTGAAGCAACGAAACAGCAAAAACGCAGACAAAACGAACGCAAAGATGCAGCAAAAGAGTGGTTGTATTGGCTATCTAGGTGCGCGCAGCGAAACAACGCGAAATGATGCTTTGCGTGGGCGGCCCGCGCGCCAAGCACGTGACCAAAGCCTACATGAATGCCTCTATAACAACACATTCTAGTCAAACCAACATGCCCATATCCTTCGCAAGATAAGCCGACCTGTCATTTTCGGCCAGCAGTATAGCGCTTACTCATTCCTAGTATATCCCCCACAGCACCGGCTCACTCTTTACATTACCATTGCAATCCATGTTTCCTTTTGCGCCGATCAGCCCATCCCTAGCAAACTTGTCGATAGCATCGTTGATAATATCAATGACATCCTGCCCGCCGACCTTAAAATTGACATTTCCGTTGGTTTTAGTAGCCTCAACGCCAAAGTGACAGGATGCGTGACTGGCAATCTCGCGCTGGTTATGGCCGACAACCTGGGTCGTCCAGCTAGTGGATGCATCGCCCTCAATGTTCTTGATGATCTGGCGGCAGTCTTCTACCTTTGGTGATGCATCGCTAGTTTGGTCCACAAAGGTTGACTCACCGCACTCATCTTTACCAGGCGGGATATCGCAGGGCCAGTTCGGGCTTGAGTCTTTGTCGGCCGTGTCCCAGGATTGAAAGGCGCGGGCGGGGCTACAAACAGGAATCCGCATGAAGCCGGGCGTTGTAACATCCACGTCTATCAGATCAGACATGGTGCCGTGATTCGTGGGATCTGCTATGCTAGCGCCGTTCTCCCTCCCGTTAGCTATCCAGGTCCGGACAGAGCCCTTGACCAGCTCGTTGGTCGTGATGCCGTAGTAGCTGTTGTCGCCAGAGATGTATTCGATTCCTTTGGGAGCAGAGAATTTGCTGTCTTTGCAGACTGTTTGACAAGGGCCGGAATCGTTGATAATCTTGCAAGTACAGTCGGTCGCATCGCCGTCCGGATAGACGAGGTAGTATTGCCGATTGTCAACGCAAACACCGGCGGCGTCTATCGTATCATTGTCCAAGTACTCGCTGATGTCCGGGTCTTCGTTGCAAGATTGACCTGAGTCGATGATGAAAGTGTAAGACCCAGCCTGGCGCCATAATGCGGGCAGAGAAAAGCCGACGATGCACTTGTTAATGTTGGCAAGCAGCTCATTCTCGGTATTTCCAGATTTAGGGGGGTCAGTATCCCTCTTACCCTGGATGAGCTTGCCATCTGATATGATTTCCCAGAGGGTATTAATGCTCGTTTCGTTTCCACTGAACAGGTCATCCAGCGCCAGTGATGTGATATTAGACCAGCCCCACACCACTTGCCCCAGAAAGGCAGAAAACTCGTCTTGTCCCTCTGGCGTCCACTTGGGATCACTAGCCGGAGGTAGTACGTCCTTGGCAGTAGTCGTACCTTGTCCAAGGAGGGTCATAGTGGTGTCCTTTGCGTTGTCCAGGGCGCTGCCAGAAAACCAATCGTGGTTCTTCAGTATTGTGTTGAACAGCGGCCCGGCAGTGCCCAGGGCGCCGAGCGTAAGCATGTCAATAAGGATATTGAGCCAGGTCTTGTCTTCTTCTGGTGGGATAGGCGCAAATTTGTTTTCCATATCGTCCAGTGCTGTACCGACAAGACTAAGAGAGTGGAATAAACCATCATGATATTCCCAGTACATTTGGTGAATTTCTGACATTGAACTCAGGATAAGAAATGCAGCCGGGCCGGAGGTTTTACCGTTTGCGCCGTCTTCGCAGCCAACTGAACTGCAGCTCTCTTTGGAAATCTCACCGCAATCCTCATAATCGAAGCGGGTTGTACTTTCAACAGATCGCATGAAGGTGAGACCGCGTGGCTTATCGGTTTCATTCCAAATTCGGATAATATCTTTCCATGCAGTATCGGTGTCCATGTTCTTCCACCGCTCAGAAGGTGTGAAGTCGAATAGATTTGCAACATTATCGTCAGTGCAATCATACGAGGTCCAGTTTCCCGTACGCGTTTGGTCCGTCTTAGGGTCTTCCCCTGCTTTGGCGAGCTGGATGAAGTTGGCCCAGCTTGTCGCCGGCTTGGGAACATCATGATAGGTTTGCAGGTCGCTGGCCCAGTCAGAGGTCCCTCCCAAGCCCCAGGCACTATAGAGAGTGGCACGGGTCTTTTTCGTAGCGGCGCTCATGTAACCGACCCATTCATCGTTATCATAAATAAGAATGTCGCTATTGCTGCTTGTGTCGACATAGCTTTTGACGACCCGAGATGAATCCTTCATGATATCGTCAATCTCCGCACCGGCAAGGTACCCTGCCGTGTTAGTACATTCACCCTTCTTCGCGTCAGAGTTCAAGCGGTCGCCAGTGTAAAGACAATCGGGCCCCCAGCAATTTGGGTCTGCCATCTTGAAGGATCGGCCATAGCTCGTAACACCGACAATGACCTTTGCGCCAGGGACACCTGCCTTGGTAATCATTGCCAAGGATTGTTTTGTTTCAGTCAAGTTAACCTGGCTACGCAGACAATTTCCCGTATCACACCCTTCCTGTGAATTGCTGTTATGCGCATCCCACTGGCCGTGAAGATCGTAGGTCATATAGACAATGTAGTCGACGATCCTAGCCATGTCCTCTATAGGGAACTGCTTCAAGTACCAGTAGGATGCAGGTGCAGCAATGGAAACAGACTTTCCTGGCAAGAGATTTTTGAGAACGACAAGAAACGCAAGGTAATTGGGACCATCTTCGGCTGTGCCAGGGTCACTTTCAGGGAGGTCAGGTGCTCCTGGATATTCCCAGTCAATGTCGACACCGTCAAGGTCATTATCCTTGATGAAGTTGGCGATGTTTGTTGCCATGGTTAGCCTATTAGCGGGTTTGACACCGTTGCGGAAGATCTTGTATGTTTTAGGCATGGTCGAGAAGTCCCACCCACCAATGGAAAGGATTCTCTTGACCCCAGAGACTTTTTTGAACTCGCCAAATTGGTAGGTAGATAGTACATCCCCTGTCTCGACCTCCCACGATTCGGTCAGCGTTCCGAAGCCGAAATGGAGGTGCGTGTACTGCGAGGTATCAATCTGCGAGGCATCCTGGAAGAGACATTTTCTGCTGAGGCAGTAGCCTTCATAGTAGGCAATTTTGACATTTCCAGACCCAGAACCCTTAACAACATCCATTCCACAATTGGATATACATCCATACGTCCCTGGCTCAGCCGTACCTGGGGCCCCAGTGTTGGTATCGACGCAGAAGTCTGCGGTAATGCCGCATTGGCCCCAGATATTACAGCATGCGTTGAGCGGGCAAGGATTGAGATCGGCAATATTTGAGCCATTCGTAGGTGGGTTTGTGCCTGGCTTCTGGGGACCACATTGGGCATTGGAGATTTCCGCAGGGAATGGTGGAGTCCCTTTACTCAGACACATAACAGTATCCTTGAATAGCAGCTCACAACCGTTCCAGCCCCAGGTGTCCTTGTTGAACTCCTCGAGATCATCAATCTCAAGGCTATACTCGGCAGCCAGGCTGTCGCAATTGTCATCGGCTTGAACTTGATATGCCTTGCATGAGCCATCTTCGTTGGGCTGAGGGCGAAGATCAGGAAGATTTCCACTGGAGCAGCAAACATGCTGCTTAGGCTTTAACGTGGAGCAGAAATCATCACCGGGGTTGTACTTCGTGAAGTCAGCGCCCGAAATGCCACATTTCACTGCCAGGTCGGCACAGCTGTTCCCGGCATCAACTTGTACAGTTGTACACTCGCCATCGCCTCTTGCAACGAGGTTCCAAGTCAGATTGCGCGCCAAGTGAATGGAAGAGGCGGCAGTAGTGCGGTTGCCACTTAGAAGAGGCGTAGTGAACTTTGCAGAGCCGGCAAGCTTGACGGATCCGGGGAACGATAAGCACGTCGCATTAGCCCAAGACTTGATTGCAATTTGGATGGGAGCAAAAGTTCCGTTGCTGGTCGCCATAATACCGAATACATGTGTGCTATCGTAGCCTTGCTCGCAGAGCTGCATAGCTAAGCTAGGGGTGGTGATGTCAAGTTTGTCAAGATTGTCCTGGAAGAGCCTGAGCGCAGACTCGCTGAGCCCTTGCTTCAGCAGGCCCTGGCCAACATACAATCCAATTGTAGCTTGGCCAGACTGGCCGTATATGATAAATGGCCTATCGGTCTTGCCATGCTCTCCATCAGCATAGTGGCGCATCTGCCTAACAATTGACCGCAGCCCAGCACCCGCCAGACCGAAACCCTCATGCCACCAGCCCAGTTCGAACTCAACATCAACGGACTCGCTAGAAGTGACAACTGCGGTACTCGCTGGGAACGTGGCAAAGTCCGGCCCGTATGAAGAGCAGGCTTGAATGCGGTGGGTTTTCTCCCAATCATCGACATCGTCAAACAGAGAGAAGTCATAGAATATCGTCTCCTTGCACTTCCGGATCTGCCTGAAGCCAGAGTACACCGACCAGTTCCCGGTATTGGGCCCAGCATTGCGGCAGCGCTCCGGACAGACGGAAGCACCGCTCTTGTAGCTCTGGCTGGCCAATTGATGGAAGCCAGGGCTTGCGGTAGCTGAAGGTGGCCATATGGTCAGCACGAAGCCTGCTGCCACGCCGAGCCAAGTGAGGGCCACCATGGAAAAGGGATAGAGATAAATTAAACCTGAATGAACGAATGGATTGAAAGGAAGAGCAAAGAGATTTTTCAAGAAAAAGAACGTGTCACAATGGGAACGGAATTATAGGAAAGACTGCATGGACTGTGCTGGAAGTAAAGAGCGTGATTAAGGTAGCAGCGGAAGAATAGGAAGGAACACGACACCAACACTGGGGGAAAATATTACCATTTATATACGAAAAAGTAACCAGGATTCCGACGTCAAACACATGCAATTCTTTTATTATTAGCGGCTCCGAAAGCGGACTTTACGATAATTTCCGACCGGGCATTGCATGCGACGCTCCACGGGTCTGTCCATCTCGCGCCAGTTGCACTTGTATAAGCGGGAGTAAGCTAGACATACCAAGGTCACTAACTGAGTTAGTATCTAGCTTTCAATTAATTATGAGTGGTGGCCTTTTGCGAATTGCGACCTTACTAGTTGTCCTTGGCGTAATCTCTCTTTCAGCTGGCAAGTCGAATGTGTTGGGAGTAGGGCGGCGCATTAACGGACGGCAGTAGAGTAGTATATTCCCCACAATTGTGGAAGGAGAACTTCCTAATCTGCGATTAGCGCAGGGTAAGGCAATACCTAGGTAGACTGGAGAGACATCTATCTAATGGCGTTGAGGCACAGGGAAAAGGGAGGCTAGACTACATATTTCTGGGATGCAGTCAAGGGCGCAAAAAAGACACCTTTAATCAGAGAAAGAGGAGAACGGGTTTGTATGCATCCGAGGTGGTAAGGAATTCGTTCCGTGTCTCGCCACAGTGAAAGCTCCAACATTGTTGTGTATGGAGAAAAGAAGGCCCAGTAGTGATTCCACCCCTGGATTGGACTTGGCAGGGAAAGAAAGGCCAAATATTCCCCTCCCTCTACCGTCAGCCATCCCATGTGCTGTAAGTTGTGGGTCCGTAGCTGACCATGAACCTTCGAGGTTGCACTGAATTTGTGAGGCGTTTTCCGGAGTGCCGAAGTGGAAAGATCGATTTGCACCGGCCTCCGTGATATCAACCCACGCTATGGTTAGGCAGTGGGGTCAGAAGCCAAGAAGAATGTAATTTGCACGTAGTAAAATGTGGCGGAGACCAAGACATTAGTACAAGCTAGCTAACCAATCTTTCTGGCTCCGATTTATCCTAATGCACATACTACTTAACAGTGCGAAATTGGGCTCAGAATGATCACTGTGATTTATGCAGGTTGGTTATTGAACATCGTGTAAAGTCGATACCCTCCATCTTCAATTATATTTGGGTAGAGACGGTATGGTTCAACAAAGTCATGTAATTTTCATCAAAGATATGCTGATGACTACCTATATCATGGTGCCTTTGAAGGGTGATAGGCGCAAGAACGAGGAAAGATAAAGCACGTCGGCCCGTGCTATACATCAACAAGTGTCTATCTACAAGACGGCAAAGCCCAAAGCCCCAACTACCGTCAAAATTCCACATACACCGAGTACAGCCAATTGGGTAGCCCCATTCTCCTCTTTAGGACAGTTATCAGGGGGAACTGGAAGATAGCAGAAGCGCTGCTGCTGAGCGGCCGCCATGCTCTCGGCGGTATCCTTGTCTATCGCAATGCGACAGGGATCCGGGATAGATGTCGTGGGGCTGGCAGTTGTGTTTGTTGTAACAACACACGTGTCGCGGTGTGCGGTGTTTTCATCTGAGGGTGAATCCATGACTTTGTCTGTCACATTGATGGCGACGGCGTTCTGGCTCCCAGGGCAGGTGCCATTGGCAGTTGCTGCCACAAGGTCCACTTCTTTAAGGCTAGAGTTGTCGATGTAGAAGCCCATAGTCCAGGTGTATTCATGGTCATTGATCCCATGCTGAGGAAGATAATGGCTCAGTCCCTCGACATCGCAGCTTTCCCAGCGTATCTGGCATTGGAGCAGCCAATTATTGGATGTGTTAAAGCTATTGTGGAAGTAGTCGTAGGCAAAGTAAGGGTCTGTGCTGCCCGACCAATTTGTCCATGAGAAATCATGGACGACAGATAATTTGCCAAAATCCAGCCCGTTATTGCGTTTGTAAATGCGGCAGGACATGCGGAGATTGAGAAGCTCTGCCCTTTCCGTGTTCTGCACAGCGAAGACGAACGGAAACCACTCGGCTGGTGAGTATGAGGTCTCACTGCGAGGGAATACCAAGTCAACTTCGACTGCAGGCGAGGTAGTAATCAAGGCTCCGAGTACTATGAGCCATTTTGGTCGGAGAAAAGGCATGGCTGAGGGATTTGACGGGCCGAGCCAAAAGCGGACGTTGAGAGACTGGAATAGCGAAGCTAGAACTGAGAGAGACACGTTGACCTTGCTCAATAGTATCGTCCAGCTCCTAGGGACTTCCGGTGACTAGTATCAATGAGGCAGGGAAAATTGAGAATATTTGTAAAATACGCGTGTCGGGAGAGGGAGTGGAATAGGGGTCCTTGGCAGGTAATCCCCCGACCCCTGGCGCCCGAGACTGAGTGTAGGTCTGGAAAGCGCACGAGCGATTCCTCCGCCTGAACTAACAGGAGATAGCGCAGGTCCGTTCTTGGATTTGGGTCAGGTCATCGCCTCCGTCAAGGTGACATGGCGCGCCAAGACGATCTAAAGAAACATCGGAGCGGAGCGAGGAACCATTCAAGCCTCTGTTTTCTGGGCCAAGCCTTGGCGCTGCGGGCAACGTTACATTCGTTTCCCAAAAAGTGCGCCAAATGGTCCCTGGCTACTCTTTTGCACGGGTCTAGCCTTATAAGGTAGTCGTAGCCAATGTGGACAAGGCGCTAAAGGGAAGCCATGATCCCAGCCTTGCCGGCAGCTTCCGCCCCTTCCTTACCGCATTGGGAAGGTCGCTATTGCTAATCTCGCTTACATTGGTGCTTGGTTAGTTCATTATGAATTTTCGCCTCCTGCCTCACGATTAGATCGATTGGACAACTGATCCCTTGCCAAGGAGCGGTTACTACGCTAACCCAGCATACACACAACATGTACCCTACATGCTTTTGATCGAGGTCATCCCCATATTAAATTCTGATCATGTGCACTATGGTCTCAACCATTGACTGAGCCGTTATCAACCGGGTATCTTGGTTCAATGCCTAGTGCCGTAGGCGTCGTTCCCTCCAGTCCATTCAGCGCAGGAACCATCATTTGACGCTCCACCATCACAGTTGGTTGTCAATTTAGTCATGTAGTCTGCGGTCTACAGCGCGAGTAAAGGGGTACAGATGATAACTCTCAGTCTAACAATCCCGGTCTTCGGCTCCCTGATTGACAATGAAAAATGACACATCCGACGTTGGGGAACAGGTCGACTGGAATCAAGCCAATGCCAGTGGAATGGATAGTTGTGTCCAGGTGAGTACATAAGCCAGTGTATATACCCTTCAAATGTTGCTGATCGTTGCCTCATTCTCTTCAACTACCCTCTATAGGGAGCTCATATCGCCCTAATACTAGCCCCAAAGACGCCGTATTCATACCAAGAGAAATGCAACTCAAGTACCTCACTATCGCCGGACTTGCTCCAGGCGTGGCCTGTGCGCCGTCCAAACGTACAACTGAGTGCTCCTTTACGACGGATGCTAGCAAAGGTGATACCTGCGATAGCTTGGCTGATGCTTGGGGACTCTCTGTTGAGGGCCTTCAGCATCTGAACCCTAGTATCACCTGCCCAGATCTTGATACGACCAAGTCCTACTGTGTCATTGGAACCGTCAGTGACGATGCACCAAGCACCATGTCGACGACAACGATTTCTTCAACTACGACGGCTAAGTCCTCAGTCCTAACTCCCACCACCATCGCAACCACCACCGCAGCTGTGCCTACCAACTCACCTGCTATGCCAGGCATTGTCGATAACTGCGATGGGTTCTACAAGGTCTCTTTTGGAGATCATTGTGACACTATCGCCGAGACATATGGTATTACCACGGCTCAGCTGTTGAGTTGGAACAGTGAGATTAATGATAGTAAGAATGCCCTACCCGCCCACTTTTTCAATTGACGACGGGGAGGACTGTAATATTTTGTTACTGACATGCAACTCATGCAATTAGGCTGTTCAAACCTCTGGTTAGACTACTACATCTGTATACACGCCCCGGGATCTACCGCAACTACTCCTGAAACGCCCGAGCCGACCGAAGACCCGGGTTCCAGTCCGACTCCCCAAATGCCCGGCATTGTTGAAAACTGCGACGAGTACTATAAGGTCGCATCTGGCGACAATTGTGAAACCATCTCTAAATCTTATGACATTTCCACGGCCCAGTTCAAGAGCTGGAATACCAAGGTCAACGATGGTACTCATGCCTCCCTATTCTCCCTCTACGCTTACATTGCAGTAATCTAAAATATTTTGTCTTAAACCCCAGACTGCTCGAATCTTTGGCTTGACTACTACGTCTGCGTACACATCCCCGGCACAACCACCACAACGACAGCAGCCCCAGACCCCACGAACGACCCCTCAAGCCCGACGCCTCAGCTGCCGGGCATAGTCGAGAACTGCAATTCCTTTCATCTGATCAAGGATGGAGAGAACTGTTGGTCCATCTCTAATGAAGTGGGAATCACACTTGCGCAACTGCGTGAGTGGAACACGGAGCTTAATCCAGCATGCGATAATTTGTGGTTGGGATACTATGTCTGCATTGGTGTTTGATTACGCCCTGGAGTCCACATTTGAAAAAAGGTTTGTGTAACCATACGTTTGATTGCTCTTAGTATAGTGTAGGGTTTAGATGAGTTAACCAAACAATTGACTGCCTCCTCCGCACAATTAAAACAAAACCGGAAACACAATCGCAGATCTCAGGGCTGCCCCATCTGTAGACCCGCCACGGGCCGAGCCGCTTCCCTGAATCCAAGCCGTGGCTGAACGTGGAAAATCAGGGTCCTTCCGAATTTGGCTTAATACTATTCCACGTCGTATCTATGTTCATATTCCTCCACGCCTTGAGGGGCCTTAAGCCAACAAAATCGTAAAGAGTTCGGAATAGAGAACTGGGCAGCGCATTCTCTAGATAGATAACGAGTGGCATTTGACAATTCTATCGGTTTTCGCTCATGTTCGACGCTGGAACTGTGATTATTCCAGGTGTGTAATAGTAGTTTCACTTAGCTGAGTACTTTAGGTCGCTCTTCTAGGTTGTGTAGATTGAATGAGGGGTCATCTATGATCTGATATTGTAGTATCCACTTTTCAAACATCGATGTTTACGGAGAGCATGGACAGCTTGGTAGTTTATTGGGCCGATACAAGGTCTTACATTTTCTCTCGGTTGCCATAAGGCTTCAACTCTCTGGAGTCTTGCGAGCTAACATCAAATAAAGTGCCAGCTTCACAGGATGACTGAGGAAGCCAACACCAACCACTTTGTCCGTTTCGGCGTCGCACCAATGTCCAGTGAGGCTTGTTGTCGGACGGAGAACGGTGGCGTGGCAAGGCTCTTCGCAGTCTCCTGAAAGCTGTTGGGAATAAAAGGGAAATGTGTACGAATAAAAATATATCCTGCCTTGAGCACAATGACAATGTCTGTCTGGCTAAATGCATGAATTCTATGTGGCAGATGAGACTCAGTATTGAGGTATATAATGGCAATTTATTTCTGGATAACAGTAATTTATCTTAGTAATATGAATATGAACTGCCGTCCACACTTGAGATTTAGATAGTAATAACTTGTACATAGAGCCATTGCATCCTGCGTAAACTTGGAGAACTTGGCTAGTATCACTGGCTATTATAGCGACGCTGAGGGATTCCTTCGCCTAATATTATGACAGGCATCCCGTGCAAAAGGAAGGCAACGTTTAAACCGGTCAGACTGAGGTCTGTAGACGCCAGTCGCTTTCAATGCAGCGATGCTAAATCAAATCTTCCTTGGGGGCTGGTTCTCCTTCTTAATAGGCTGATGGGACAATGGAATGTCGCCGGACTTCGGGGTTCGCTTAGTCTTCGAGTACTCCTTCCGCCAGATGTTGAATGCTGTCACGTACGGATTCTCCTCATCGATCGGATAGGATGTGGCTGAGTTGGTATATCCAAGGCCCGCAAGATCCACTAAATAAAGCCTGTCTGCCCGAGCATCGTAATGAAGGTAGCTTAGGTGTTGCTCAGTCAGTTTGTAGTCATTTTGGCGCATGAGCCTGCGAGATAGTCAGTATGCGTTAGTTCAGGATGGAGAACGCCCTTTCTTTTCTGTAGCATGATGCGAATTTAGCTTACTCCAATAAATGCGCTAGTTGCTTTCTGATACTCCTGCGCTGGGTATCGGTAAGCTCCTCTAGGATATCATCAACGTTCTTCCCAAGAGGAAACTCCATAACGATGAACTCAAGGTACCCTCCAGGAAAAGGCATCCAATGAGGTTGTTCGTGGGTCTCGTGATTATGATACTTCGGCCCATATCCGTGTGTAGACAGAAGGTCTATAGCCTCCACTTCATGGCAGTAGTGCTGTTCAGCAACCTTCAAGGTCTTGTCCAGATCTTCTATGTCACAGTCTCCCGGGTCAAGTTGATAGCGTATTTTGAGCAGGTACTGCTTTTTGTCCTGTCGCTTGGCTATTGCTAAAACCTTGCGCTCACCAACTTCCGCATCGTCATCCTCGGTCAGCTGCCTCACCACTTTGAAATCTTCCCCCTCGATATCGAAAATTCGGTCTCTGAAACTGAAACTCCACATGATTGAACCACTGCATGATACGGTACTTGTTTCAAGAGAAAGGTAAGCATTTATGCCCTAGGCACATGGAGGTGTGGGACGGGGGTGTGGGATTGAAGGATGGAAGTTGGAGACGGGGGAGCGACGGGGTGGAAACTCTTCGGTGTTCGTATGTGTGTCACCACCCGCCTTCATTCACTATGACACTCTACCAAGGTCATTATAGGTACGTCACTATCCATAGGTTGCTTCATATTTACCATTACTTATTTCGATTCGTATGATGTCAGCTGACATTTTGAGAATTCTTTCATTACGTGACTGTAACCTATACGCCCAATCAGGCTGGCCATTGTTGTCCAACTTGACTCATTTCGCGCTCTGCCGGCCTTCATGCAACGCATATATACTTCCCGACAAGCCATGATACTAACTATGTTGCCAGGAAATAAAAAAAAAAAATCAAAAAAAGAAATCAAAAAAAGAAAAAAAATAAAAAGCCATATTCATCCACCCATTGCAATCACTAGAAGAGGCATGGATTATGCTATGGATTTAATGAACAGTGAAATGGCCGATTTTGTCATTGACTACCCACGCGGAAAAAGTGCGGTTCTGCAAGGCATCCTGAATGCCATTCCTCCCGACAGAAGCCCTTTCTTCGCACTAGACACAGTCAATGAGATATCCAGTGTCCAGGAGATTGAGGTCTTGAACCAGATATGGGGAGCACTGTCGGTCGTTACGCACGAGCCAGTCGTCCCAGTTATAATTCAGGTACGGCTCTTTGCATGGAGAACAACCAAACTTGCCTGAACATATGTGAAATTGAGAGTTACCACTACTAAGGCTCTGCCATAGAATCGTTTCTCGGAGCATGATCTTCTTCAAACAGGTTTCATTGATATTATATGGTGCATCTTCAGTTATTACTCCTTAGGGGATGCAAAACGACCTGTTACTGCTACCTCTGAAAATATGATATATGGCCTGTCCTTTTGATGAGCATGGTATTATCTTAATCAGTTAATTAGATTATAGCTAGATAATACGGATTAGAGTGTATTGCTTATTATCCCCAGTCTGCCTAGGGTCAAATAATTGGATGAAGGTCGGCCTCTTACTGATCTTGTCGTTGCTATGCAACTGGTTGGTAAATTTGATGGTTACTATCAAAAGTTAGGGTATGTAAATTCTGAGAAATCTGAAAATTGTTTCTGGCTAAGGTGCATGCTTATCTAACTCCAAGTATTTTTTCTTTCTTATACTAGATTATTTTCTGAAAGCAGAAATGATCAACTAAATTAATGAATTTCTGAATTTAATGCAGGTAATCTAAAGATTAGCTCACAATGCAAAATCTTGAATTCAGGAAAGGTATTTTGAGGGATCAGCTTTTGCTGATTTCTGTCATTCCGAGGTTCTATGACATTGAAGTTAGGAGGACCTCCCTCTCAGATTAGGTGGGCTTCTCGATCCTCGGATCACGGTCTGCCTTCGAGTAGTCTGGTTATGCCGTTAGAACAATTTCGAGGCACAAACAAGGTATTACCCACTAAACGTTTGCCATATCTGGCAGGGTAGTAGCTTCTTTCTTTATCAGCGACCGCGATGACAAGAGCCAGTAGGCATTCCCGGAGCGATAGGGCACTAGATGTTGAGACAGAACTGGCACTTATTGGCTGAGACACGGCAAAGTGGGTGTCATCGACCCTTTTCAAGAACCAAGTATACTCATAGACCGTGTAGATGCCATACCTGCAGTGATGATCATCCATGTATCGAGAGAGCTGGCCTATTCATTCAAGAACCTGGGTCAGAATACTGACTTAATCTACCCACTTAGAATAATGGAGACTCACCAAACTTTCGAGCTGTGAAACTCTTCCAAGTTTCTTCCTTGCCTGGCTCAAACGCCCAGTGCGTCTTCACCTCGCACAAGGCTCGGATCGTGTGGCGCTCGTCCTCAACGAAGACGATGTCTGGAACCAGAGTTCCCTTCTTCCCCCCTTTCTTGACCACCTCATCTTCGCTCTCATCACGACCGTGCTTCTTTTTCTTATCACCCTTCCGGCGATTAACCCCCCACTTTGAGTCACCAAAGAACATACCCAAGTTCAGGTGATTCATGGCTTCACCCACGGGGTGCAGGGCGCTATGGATGAAACGACCCTGCACCCGTAGCCCATTTGCCACACCAAAGGTCTCGTTTGGTACAGCGGGCATAAAGGGATAATGGTTCCCCCAGTAGGGATTAGACAGAACCTTTACCTCTTAGGTGTAGTTCTCCCAATCCAGGAGTTGGTCTCTGTGGAGTCTGAATTGTGAGCCGCCGGGTTTCAACATGCGGTACTTCTCTCCGTTGCGTAGGTGAGGTACAGGCGCCCGAATTCGCTCAAGATGGCCGCGTGGCAGCATGTTATTGTTCATCGTGTCGTTCTTCCTCGACTGAGGAAATCTCCGTTTTGGTTCTGAGTTCTAGAGACTTAGCTTACGGAAGCACGAGGCGCAGTAGCTATTGGAACAAAAGAAATGATCAAAGGTCTGCAAGAAGAAGAATCCTTTGCCCGTGCTTTTATATAGACAGTGCTATTCACATCTAACTATTCATTCTAATGGATAGCGTCATTGATTGAAAACGTATTCACTTCATCTCCATGTATTTTCATTGAATATATATCTCTTTCCATCATCTTCATTAGAGCACGGCTATCTTCTCAATTCAATATTGAAGGCCTGGTTGATACATGATGACAAACATTGCGATGGACTATGCCAACCACCCATGGCTTTCCCGTTACTATAAATAAATTCCCTCAGTTCGAAGTGCCGCCTAGAAGCTGTAAGTTTCACTGCCATCGGGCCGCGATACAGATGACTTACCGGACTTTTTCTGTAGTCACCTTATTCATCTTCGGGCGGCACTTATCTATTTCTCTGTACATAATTAGGATTCTGTCGATATTGTCGCAGCCCTCTACAGATAAGGATTGCAGCTCGTTCAGTAAGTCGTTCAACCCAAAGTATGGTATACCTAGAGTGTTTTGAAAGAGCTTGGCAAGACAATTTCCATGCTTCACGTCGTTGTACTTCCGTCTTAGAGGGATTTTGCATTCCATGGATTGGGGCGCTTCCCACAAGCAATTGTCTGAGGACTCCCAATACGGCCCTCCTTCATCATCCATGTTTGGTACGTGAATGAGGTTTTGAGAAGCGAAAGCAGTCCTAAGTAGACAATCAACATATCGAAAACCCCTCGAATGCACTTATACTATACCGAAGAATTGAACGATAAGAGTCTGGTGTTGAGGACTCACTGTACTGAGCCTGGATGCGTGCATACAGATCGTAGACACACTCGATCTCATCGGGTGTTGTATGGTTACCATCACTAGATTCCTTGATAGACTGTAGAGCTCGCAGGTAGGCTTCCAACTCAGATTTTGGATAGCCGAAACCCAATGCTTTAGCCATATCGTTCAGTTCAGGAAGCCAGGAACTATCAGTTTTAAGCCATGGGAAATCATCTTCATCCCGAAGAAACTTTCTGAGGTATGAAATCTCAGGAACCGGGATATATGTCTCGCCCAGAGAATAGCTTGATCCACTCTCACAGACAACCTTAAGTTTCAACAACTCATCAATCAGTTTGCGTTTTGCCAGGAGAAGCAGAATCGAATTTCCAGTTCTTGACCAAGAACCCTACAAATTTCTCAGGATGATGCTCGGCTATGAAGGTACACTCTGGGCTCAACCGGTTGGAATCTGTAATTGGAATGGTGTTGCGGACTTGCAGTGACTCTGACAACCACGTCATCCATGTCCGGCGTTCCCCAATTGGCTTTATAGGGAGGGGTCCCATATAGCGACTATGTAGGATGTAAACGCCCGGCCTTGAACTCTTCCCGGTCCCGTAATGTTTCGTCGGCGTGAGTAGTTGCTCGGCACTGTACAAGTCCTTTCCAGGAAAGTAAAAGGTATGTGAATCCGGCTCCCGGTATCTGTTCTGCTGGTCTATGAGATCCATGTCGCTGTAGAAATGCGCAGAATCAATTCGGCGGTCAAGATGGGCCGTAAGGTAGAGAAATTCCAGCTGTGCTCGAGACTCGTCGAGGTCAACCGTTTTGTTGTAACTGGTACGGATAACAGCGTCTCGAACCCGAGATACCTTCGGATTCTTAACACCAAGTTGACTGAACAGTCTTTCTCGGTCGGGGTTCTTCTCAGCTCGCGGGTCTACCAAAGGCATGTTCACTTCGGGGATGAGATAACCGTTACAGTGAGAATGGTAGATGCGATGGGTCTTTATGGAGGTTGAAGATCTCCATTCGCCGTTAGTCAGGGGAATAATAGCAAGCGCAAACACCGATTTGGGCCTTTCCTGGTAGGCTGACATCAGGACCCTAGCCACACGCGAATGCCAATCATCATCAACACTGAATGATCCTATCAGTGAGTCGTCGCGGCTAAGATCCTGGCGAACCCTTTCCAGGAACCCATAATTGCTCAAATAAACAAGGCCGTACCCCATCAACAATTTCAAGTCTCTTGGACGATACTTAGGGGAGAGATACTGTTCGGGCTTCAAGTCTGGCAACAGAGGATCTCCATTGCTATCGAGCATACTAGAAGGTAGTCTTCGCGTACGTATGATAGGGTGCAGTGCGCTATGAGTTCTTGTCCAAAGAACATCAGACATATTTTGGTGAGCATGGATATGGGCACTCAGTTCTTGCGAAAATGATCCACTGGAGAGCTCATCGCGTCTTGGGAGGTATCTCATCCATTGATACCGTAAGGTTGGGTGTTGGCAAAATTCCTGCACTGCTGTAGCAAGCACCAGGCCTACATAACTGAGTAAAGTGGTATTCCGGGTTGAGGACAGAGGTATGTCCTGTCTGCTGGCGTCGGTATAAAAATCTGCATGGATCAAAAACTGGAGCAAATTAGTGATGCCCGTGGATGTTAGCCGGAGTGTCTCACTGGAAGCCCCATTTTTCGTATCGGGAGAAAAGCATAAAGTAGCTGTTCTTCAATGATCGGAATAGAGGTTGCAGTCAATGGAAATGCGAGAATGACGTCGGACTGTGTAGAAGCCTCTGGGCACTTTCTGTTCTCGCTTACGGGAAGTTTGTCGAACGTGATTTTGGTAATATGCTAGTGTCGAGTATCCACATGAATATGACCGTTCTCCCTTTTTTCATCCACGAGTTTACCCCGAGACTTGGACAGGTATTCCAGTGAATAGAGCGTAGTACACACTTCCTTGCTTTCGTCATCATAAAAGGCAACGTAGATTCTTTCAATGTTTTTCCTAAACAGAAGAAAGGTCGCCTGAAGCTCTTGGAACTGCTGGCGGATCGTCTTGCGTTGTTTGGCAAGAATTTCCTCTGGACCTGTCTCGTGCAAGAACAGCGTAATTCGAGTTATGTCATTTGCCACCTCCTCTTCTCTTTCTTGCCAGATGGGTGAGATCATACCCATTCCCGAGTCGCCAATCCTATGCTGTAAATAGAATGAAAGCTCTCCCGACTGGATGAGAACTTTCCACGCGACCATGAATACCGACTTAAAGCCAATGTCTTTGTCTCCAATATATCCTTGGACACTAGTTTTTGAACTCTTTCCGATATTGCAGATCGCGATCAGGTCCTCTGTCGTGAAGCCATCCTCATTACACTCGAGAACAATTTGTCGCGGGTAGACGCGAAATGAAACGTAGGGTGCTTCCGAACGGGATTTGGCCTTAGAGTAACTGTTATCATCGGCATTCTGCAACAGCTCGAACACAAACCGAGCACTGCTCTTATAGACATCTTTTGCTAGTCTTTGACGCCAGTCACATCAGCAATTTCCTTCCGTTATGAGAGTCACGGGGGTCAGGATTCAAAGTACATACGTCAACACAGAAGACCCTAGCATCTCGTCTTTCTTCAGCATTGCTTCCTCGACCTCTCGACGAGTATCCTGGTCCATCCGTCCCAGTATTTCCTCACTCAGATAACCACGGCCTTTAGCAACGCTTCTAACGAGCTCACGGGCGCTTTCGCGGGATTCCATTGTTCACAACGCCTGGTATGATGGGTTATGTTGGAACCGTTAAGCTTTGCATTCGGCAATCACAGTCAAAAGAACACAGTTTCGGCTGAGGAGGGTCTATTACTTGGCTCAGTGCTGGGGGAGGGGGGTTGATTCCCAGATCTGGGACTAGAGGGCACCTTTGTACCTTGACACGAACTACCAACCAGTCTGCCGCCATAAATCGACCGACTGCTCTTAACCCCGCTCCCAAAGATTTAGTAGTTCCTTCACCCCTGACACGGGCCACCTATCAGCTTTGCACATTTCTCCACATCTATCTTGATCGTCCTCGAGCCAACAGCTCATTGGGTAATCCACGTGATTGTACTGGCATTAGTTTAGTGACCGATAATAAGTCAATCCCAAAGTACCAAGACTAACGGGCCGTTCAAGTTAATCTCTACGAACTTTGAGATACAATACAAAATATTCCGCTTACCTCCGGTCTCCCGAATCGGGTAAATCGCGATGCTGAGCTACCACCTTCCTCATGGCTGGAGGCCCCCCTTCCTCGTCTCCGCCGTTCGACTGCAGGCACTGTGGCCATCATAATAGTTCAAGTTTCAGCTTCCAGCGCCTTATAGCGATGTGGGGATTTCCTGTCATCGGCGAGTCCCTCGCCGATATCGGCCTTTCTAGTCATTATGGTCGAAGTCGGGACACCCCTCCAACATATTCTAGAGGGCATCAGCTTCCCAATGGGACTGGTGTAAAGATTCCTGACTTCTTCACCTAACCTCCTGGTGGTTCGTGCATACAGCGGCACGGCAGTTGTCGCAGGCACGCCATGGGAGCAAGGTTACCTCCGCAAAAGTGGTGCGCAACCCGTTTTTTGAGGTGGAATGTTCGCCATGATACGCAGCCCGTCCGGTAAAAGCATTCCATGACCCCAGCTTGATATTCGAATATCACACTCCCGCATGAAGCAGGCATATGGCCATCTGTGTCACTCTAAGCGGCAGCGTGACAGAAGCTGCACCGTAATATCTCAACGTGCCCTGCTTGAAATAGAGCATGCTTTGGCAAACCATTCTATGAAAAGCAACTGTTTGCTGATGACAATCCTCAATTCCAGATACGTTGAGGCAGATACGTATTGCGTCCGTGAAAAGCGCTGGATTTGATGCCAACAGGTGTGCTATCTGACTGAAGCACACTGCACGAAAGGCCCACAAATGCGTCATTGCTGTGGCGACTGGGAGGCTGTAGAACCACAGAGACCCCGCTACCGCGCTACTAGACCTTGGCAAGGATGGGCATGACGTTATTGGCCAACACAGAGGGCCATTTATCGTAGCTTGCAGAGACCGTTCCCACTTGTCAAGCTCCTGCAGAGTATTTATCAACTCCGCAAGGACTCCTTCACACAGGGGTCCCCTCTCGTTGAGGGGGAGGGAATCTGTAGTCTGGACTTTTCGTAAGATAGATGGTAAGATAGAACCGTGACTCAATAGCGTTTGCAATGGCGATGGCTCATGAAATGCGAAAGGTATTGTCTGCCACTCGACCGAAGAAAGGAACGTGTCTTGGCGGGAGATGCACGCCTCCAGTATCTACTTGTATATTAGTCTTGATGGATAGAATACCAGTTTGGGAAGGATGTGGCATGCGTACAACTAGGGGCCGGAACCCGATAAAGAGCTGGTGCGCGATCGGTCTAGTAAATGACTCTGGTCCACACATTTCCATCATCCGGCCAATCCCTCTGATATGAGCAATCCAGCCCTCACGGGATGTAGGTACTAACCACTTGCAGGTGTTAATAGCCAATCTTTTACTCTGGTTGAATAAAATGAAAGTTTTGCCTACCTCGGCTAGACATAAGCACATAATAGCAGCAGCGGATTCATTGCAGCCACCGTCATCTTCAGCGATTTTATTACTCAAAGCATGGACAGCTTTCGTGTATGACTCGGCGCGATAGAGGTCCCATTGACTGCGCCTACGGTCTCTATTTCCTTTGGCTATAATTGAGTAACCTAAAGTGCGGAGCGACACTGACAAAAGGGTTGTACTTCTGCTTGTGTCCAGAAGCAGAGGGACGGTCTCCAACCAGGGGCTACACAGGGTTGAGAAGTGCTGTTTGGGGCGGCCATATCGCTCCTGGCTGTTATAGTCGGGAGTAAAATACTCCGTCACTAAAGCGAAGAACTCTTCATCTGTCGACCATCGAAAAGCCGAAAGATTTAGTATGAGACACCCGGTAGACGACCCGGAGAGTGATAGCGACGCCTCACGTGATATAGGGTTTTCCAGTGGCCCAGAAGAGATGATCTGTTGCCCAGAAGTCTTGGGTGGAAGGAAAGTCACCTCTTCATATCCTGGGCAGTCTCTCTTGGTTGCTATGCATTGAGAACAGGAAGGACGTTTTCCGTCGCACTAAGGATTACACATTAGAGAATCCTTGTCGCAGGATATTTGAGTTGAGTAATACAAGAGATTTGACCGCGTCGGCGTCGGCGACTCACCGAATATTTCCTTTGCCGACAGTTCTGACATACTGAGCGGCTCTTTACTTTCATTTTGCACCTACTGCAGTACGGCGGAAGGCGGAGGAACTAGCATGGCGGGAGTGACACAACTAAGCAGAGAAGCCGAGACGCGGGTCATGTGGTTGTGAGGCGGTTGAGATTTGGCGAGTCCCCAGGATTAGCAAGTCTTGGCACCGAATGCTTCTTCTTATGGTTAGCGTGGAGTGTGGGTCTGTGGATCTCGGCAGCTCAGTCGGAAGAATCGCCTGCCCTTCTCTCCATTATCATTCGACAACATGGCCCATTTCCGCTCAAAAGAATTCGAAAGAAGTTAATTTTGAATTGAGATGATGGGAATGATGACCAAGGATACATCAGGAGCCATCTTGCTCGCAGATATCAGAGCGGCAGTTCTGGTTTAGTTGTAAACCAAAGATATATAAGTTGCGGGATGTCCTCGTTTAAACCCCTCACCAATCCCTAACTTTATCAATTACTATTTTCTTTATCACCTCGTCCATCCATCCCACTGTTCATTTCTGCTACTAGCAACTGTCAAAATGAAGGAAGCACTTGTATTTCGCAAGAATGGGCCCATGGAGGTTAAGATTCACTCCGTGCCTATTCCCAAACCCGGACCGGACGAGATTTTGATCAAAGTCGTCGTTAGCGGCACAAACCCCAAGGACTGGAAATTCCCTGACTGGATGGATGCATTTGATGGGAAAAACACAGGCGACGATATCGCTGGCTATGTACACGAGGTTGGCCAAAACGTCTCCGAGTTCAGAGTCGGAGACCGTGTGGCTGCCTTCCACGATTATATGACGCCGCATGGGAGCTTCGCAGAATACGCCATTGGGAATGTGCACGCTACTTTTCACATCCCGCCACATATTTCATTCGAAGAAGCAGCCACGGTGCCCTTGGCTGCATTGACCGCCTCGATCGCACTGTTTGCACGCCTGGGCCTACCTGAACCATGGCTCGGAAACAAATCTTGGGCCACCAAGCCTGCAGGAGGAGTTCTTGTCTATGGTGCTGCGACAGCTGTCGGATCATTTGCGATCAGACTGTTACAGAAAGCAGACATCCATCCTATCATCGGCGTCGCTGGAAAGGGTATGGATTATGCTCGGAGTTTAATGAACAGTGAAAAGGGTGATGTCGTCATTGACTACCGGGACGGCGAATCTGCGATCGTACGGGGAATACAGGATGCCATCCCCGCTGGTGAAAGTCTCCAATATGCATTAGACGCGGTCAGCGAAGCATCGAGCTTCCAGGTGGTCGAGAAGGTTCTGGACCAGACATCGGGCGCAGTGTCACTCGTTACGCCGGAGGCACCTAAACATTTATTCAGCACGATACGGGTTGAATTCAGCAACGTTGGAAGTAGCCACGGGGATGACAAGGATTTCGCTTATGTGTGGTCGCGAATGATTAGCAGGGGCCTCAGTGAGGGTTGGCTCAAGCCTCATCCCCATGAAGTAACCCCGGGTGGTCTGGAGGGTGTAGAAACCGCTCTGAATAACTTGAAGGCTGGGAAGGCTAGTGCTGTGAAGTATGTTTTGAGGGTTACAGAAGAGTGAAGGAAGGTGAAACGCCAGTCGGACGTTAACTATAATTTCAAATCTGAAACCATTATAACTTATCTCTGTCCCAAAAATGACTACCATGACTGTAAATGTTACAAGAAGACCCAAAACGGCTTGCGATATTCAGAATTACTTCAACCGACAAGTCCATCATCGAACGAGGCATCTCTGCAGTCTATATCCACGAAACTTCGAAACAGTAAAAGCGCAAAGAAAATAAGCATTATATTCAGAAAATTATGGTTTGCTCCAAAGATGATATAATATTGAATAAGCAGCCTTTTGGGCACCCCAGAGAAATGCTCTATTATAATTTAACTCCCCTTGCGCGTACGTCTAAGGTCGCATGCACAGTAATAGCCGGGAAGAGAAATTTAAATTATGATAGGGAGCTCCATTGTATTGTTTTGGGCAATCATAATTAGCCATTCGATGTGAAGCAAGCTTTGTTTACCGATTCTAACTACGGCAGGTATTGTACAGAGGATCAACCGACAGCCAGTCTGCATTCTTGGAAACAATACGCCCATCCTTGAGAATAGCCACGAGATGATGCTGTATGCGATCAAGGATGGTAATGTCTTCCAAAGGATTAGATGTCAGGATTAGCATGTCCGCAATACTGCCCTCTTTTATGCACCCGAGTTGGCCTTCCGTTCCCAAATACCGCGCTGCATTCACAGTTGCAGATTTCAAAATGTCCTTCGCGCTTAGAACGCTGGACCTAATCGAAAACTCTTGGTTCTGTAGAGGATGCAGGCCAGCCAAGAGGTCGGAACCATAGCATATCATTGCCCCTGCCTTGTGCAAGATTGACAAAGCTTCTAGACCACTATCCAGAACTTGTCGATTCTTCGCCTGGCTGAAATCATCTAGGAACTTGTCAAAGGGTGGCTTGGACATGCCATAATAGGTAACCAATGTTGGAGTAAAGACAACGCCCAGATTTGCACAATACGCCGCAGTTTCCTCGTCGATGAAATTACCATGCTCGATGCCTCGAACACCATTATCAACAGCATGACGAATAGCCTCCACAGTGTAGGCATGTGCCGTGACGTAGGTCTTGGACTGCCTCGCCGTCGTTGTGATCGCGCGAATCTCTTCTGCAGTAAACTGCAGCATATCAAGCGCATCCGACGGTGTTGCTACACCACCACCGCACATAATCTTCAGGAAGTTGGCTCCTTGCCTAAGCTCGTCGCGGGCAGCCTCCAAGCACTCAGGGACACCATTGCATACCCGTGCCAGTGCCGGGCTGTGCCCGCCACAGCACTTATACTCGGACCCCTGATAATTGGCTCGCAAATCACCGTGTCCACCCGTTTGCGAGAGTGCTTTGCCAGCAATGAATAGCCGTGGACCTGCAACCAAGCCTTCTTCGATGGCCTCGCGGAGGGAGTAGTCGGCACCACCGGTATCGCGGACCGTGGTAAATCCTCGGAGAAGCATCTCGCGTGCAACAAACGTGGATCGATAGGCGATGGTATTTGGACTTGCAGAAAACATATCCTTAAGAGATGGAGAACCCGGCGTTGCCGTAATATGCACATGGCAGTCGATTAAGCCGGGGCAGATATACTGTCCGTTCAGATTCACTGCATCGGGGGGAGTCGCTACATCGCCACTCGATACTTCCACGATACGCCCATTCTTGATATGAACGACAGCATCAGCAATAATGTCGCCCGCTTCCACATCCACAACATTGGCGTTGTAAAAGGTAATTTCGGGGGCTGCGGCTTGAGGCAACCATGGCTTGCTCGTATTGTTGTTGTTACTCATCGAGTCGGCGGGTAACTGCATGCTGAAATATGTTCGTAGTCAGGAACGAGACGCAACCCATAGATTGCAATATAGTTCATGAAATTCTGAAAGAATGTATGATGCTTAGTCTTTTCTCGTTACTGAATCGGAATTTGACTCGACTGTGTGTTGATTCAATTGACCGGTTACGACGGCGGGAATGTCGAATGATACCCCTCATCTGTGTGCGGGGAAACACTGATAGCGAAGTTACCACGGCCAACCGAGGCTAGCTCGACTTATAGTCGGCCGAGAATAACAACAGTAAGCGATATGAGATGGCGTAGCTACTGACATACTTGGCGTTTTGATAACGCATAAGTCTGGCAACTGTAGATGGGGTGTCCCTCTTCACGTCGATCCAAGTCATGTCATTTCATTGGCCCTTAATATTACTTCCAGTATGCACGAATATGTCAAGCTATATCTTGTAAATATCGCTGTCAATGTCATTTAGTATCATCAGCACGGTATGGTCGAATCCCAGATGGTGGTTTGGAGGCATACACGCGGTGGGGAAATACAATGTATGGGAAATTTAGGACCACCGTACTCTGACTGGCAGTCGCCCCCAAGACACGATAGGCTGTGAGCTTATATGTCCGGAAAGCAGTAATGATATTTGCATCATGGGAAGAGGAATTCACTGTCCATGATAGGCTGAAAATTCTATTTTAAGGAAATGAAATAGTCCAAACTTGTACGGTCACAGTGATTTCTGGGCTTGGAAATGATAGAGCCTTTCATGTTGTGGGCTTCTCGAGGAGTAGCTCTTGGATAGTGTCAGCTACTATCATGACGGTGTCACCTTTGGCGCAGCATTTACTTAGGTGGATTCTGAACTGAACTCTTCATAACAAAAGCTGCGCTCTCGATCTGCACCAGGCCTGTAAGCTAGCAATATCTTTATCACCTGCAGATACCCCATTAAGGTACCGCGGAGAATATCCGAGCGCCAACCCTGTCATGTAGTTGCAGAAACTTGACACGAAACTCTCATTTGCCGAGAAGTTATCATATCTCAGTGCTCGGAGATTTACCCCGCATGCCACGAACAAGGAATGTACAACGCACTGGGTGACAACATAGCTGCACTGGCCCTGCATAACTGGGAAGGTGATTCTCACTTCGACGGTCATACCACGCTCACTACATTACTACCAGAGTTACCTTCGATACTGATGATGGAATTCGAACTTAAGACGGCAGAGCAAGATGCAACGAAAGATGTCAACATCGATATCGGGACAATTCAGTTACATTTTACGGCGGAGGAAGAAAAACGCGTAGTGAGGAAGATTGATTGTTTCATTCTACCATTGGTTGGTAATCGTTTCCTGAAATCCAGACTCCATGCTAACACCGACTTCAAAGATGTGCTTGGTGTTTTTCTTTCAATGTACGTAGCTGGATGAAGGCTTGAGGTCTGCCCTGGCTGACGTTCCAGACCTCGACAAGCAGAGCCTTAGCTACGCGTCGGTATTCGGGCTTATTGATGATCTTTCCCTGCAGGGGTCTGAGTATTCTTGGTGCTCATCATTATTTTATCTTGGTAAGGGATACGGTTGTTCTGTTGTAGAATAAGCAAACTGATGCGCGAGGCTCTCTCCAGGTCAACTAGTTGCAGAGTATCCCTTCATATACTTGATGAGCCGGCTTCCTCTTACAAAGTTTGTCGGTGCAACAATGTAAGTCCGCGACTGGAATTGGCACAATTCGTTGGATTCTAACCAGTATAACCCAAAGCGTTTTCTGGGGTGCCGTGTGCATGTGCCTTGCGGCGCCAACAAACTTTGCAGGGTTCGGGGCTGTAAGGTTCCTTCTTGGAGTCACGGAAGGGGCTGTCTCTCCAGCATTTGTGACCCTCACTAGCATGTGGTACAGAAAACAGGAACATGCTTCAAGAGTGGGGTAAGGCATTGGATTTCAAAAAGCTCTGTTTAGCGATACAATTTACTGACTTCACAACCAAATATAGCATCTGGGTGACGATGAACGGCCTTGCCCAAGTCCTTGGGAGCCTGCTCATGTACGGAATTGGGAAACAACACTACCCGCGGCTGGAACCATGGAGGGTTCTCTTCCTCGTCTGCGGTGCACTTACAGCCGCCTTTGGTGTCGTCTTCTACTTTCTAGTGCCTACCGGTCCTCAGAAAGCATGGTTCTTATCTGACAGGGAGCGAGAGGTCCTACTGGCGAGAATGGCGCAAGACAGAGAAGGAGGTGATAAGACCAACTTCTCAAAGTCACAGGTGAAGGAGACTTTATTAGATGTCCGAGCTTGGTTTACCTTCGCTTTCGGCATCCTTGTCACGATGCAGTCGCCAGTTCTAACGGTATGTCTTTATTTACTCTCTAACCATTTCCTCGATAAAGAAAGCTCACGTAAGTCAGTTTGCTTCCTTGATTATCAAGAACCTCAACTACGACAAGTATCAAACCATGTTGTATACCTCCCCATCAGGAGCCGTTCAGATTGTCGCGATCTGGATCGGTGTACTCGGCTGTCAACTCCTTCCCAACAACCGTAGCTTGGTGGTTATTCTACTCTCCATCCCTCCCTTGATTGGCAACATTCTTCTCTTAAAGCTTCCACTTACGACAGGATGGGGACTGATAGTGTCCTCTTGGCTAGTACGTTTTGACCCCTCTGTCTCATATGAAGCGTGCGCTCACCCGTGATGCTAGGCGTCCTGCATCTCAGATGTGATGGTCATCCTTCTTAGTCTGAGCGCATCAAATGTGAAAGGAAATACGAAGCGGGCGATGGCCAACACAATGTATTTCATTGGCTATTGTGTTGGTTGCATCGCAGGTCCCCAGCTGTGGCAGACCAAATCCGCTCCCAGGTTCTTTGAAGGGGTTGTTACTGCAATCGTGACGTGGTGTGTGCTGGTGCTGACCATGGGTATTTATTGGTACTTGTGCAGGGCTGAAAATCTTAAGCGTGACCGGGAAGCCAACACTTCTGCCGATATCGTCTTGCATACCGAGGACGTCACAGATATCGAGGATCGGCTCTTCCGCTACAGTTATTGATAAAGGGCCGAGAGTGCCGGAGATTTGTGGGTGTAATATCGTGTCCTGGGATTGTCCAATCGAGGATCAAATCCGAGTACGCTAAGATGCTGGAACAGGTATCGGGCACGTAAACTAATGAAGAATGAAGGATGCTTGATGCTGCGGACATCTGCGTATCAAGACACGGTCTGTTTTGACTGCTCATCTGTGATACTACTTGCACCGTTGCACATGTGAGATAGATACATGCGGCCTATTGCAAGATGTAAATTTGTGCTAGCTTCAGAATCAAGCCTGCTTATTCAAGATGTTTTCAGTCATGCGCCGTTCTCGCACAAGCCTACAATGACGGATCTGAGTACTAATGCGGCTAGTTATTGCATCGCTTTCTTGTCTGTTATCTAGAACTCCCCGCTAGATTAAGAAAATATTTACAGGAATTTGAAAATACGTAGTAAAAGAGTCTTCAAATATATTTCTTTGCATTTTTCTTTGTCTACAACCTTTAGATACCTAAATACTACATTCTATGATTTTTTCTTTTTTGTTTTCTTTTTGGGGTAGGGAAAGGCATGATATAATTCTTGTTAAGACATCCCCTTATGTCTGGTTCGCCTATGTCGTTGATTGCTGAATATATCAACTAGTGGAGCTGTCCTGATTGGTATATTTCAGTCATACAATCTATTCAGCAAACTTCCTTTGATGACGTGGTAGTCCTGGATTGAGTTATAAAGTGTTGGTCAAACCCGGTACGTTAGAGATATAAAATCAAACAAGTGAAGGTACTAGAAGGTTATATCAGCTTTTCTTGAATCAATTATCATTAATAAGTGTGCATGTGTGGGACTGGCGAACACGCTCAGCACAGACACTGCCTCTTCTCCCTATCATATCTTAACAGCAATGTAAGTACATACAACCACTGGACAATGGTAAGTTGATTTGAGAGTGAGCTACAAAGTCGCAAGATCTAATGGTCTATGGCTCGTTCAGTCTGGCTCTCCTCTCATGGCTCAATTATCGCACTACATACGGTAATAAGACTTACGACCCTCGGTTAAGAATTTGGTAGTAGCACAGCTCATGGATGTGATTTGAAGGAGCATCTACCTGCCATTCTCTCGGTAGAGATAGCGTCAATTAGTTTGGACTTCTTCGGGGTTGAGTACGTAGTTCATGCTTTCTCCCAATTACCTATGCGAAGATCGAGTTATTGTCGACTTCTGATAGCGTCTAGCAATTGATAATGAGAAATAATATGTTTATGTGGACTTGCAGGTAGAGACAAAGGTACGTATTCATCCAATTCGGTACAGCCCATCAATCAATGCGAGCTTATATAAGAATTCTGCCCTTCTGGGACCTATGGTCTGGCAGTGTAGATGCTTGGTTATCACAGCATGATCACAAAACTAATAGCAATCCTCCAAAGTAGAATATTGTGATCAAATCTACACATCGAGAATCACAATGTAGCTGCCGGAATCAAACGTGAATTGACATCAAGGGAAACTAACCGACCGCTTTTTAGTGTTTTTGCGCACAAGGTACACCTTGTCTTTCGAGTAGTCGTTGATATTGAGCTCAGTCGAGGTGCTAGGCACCCTCGCGACTTTCCCGTATGCGGCGGGTGTGCGCGAATAGTTCTTCCTGCATATCTTCGGCGATCCATTGTTTGATGATGATATAGTCGTGGTCATTCTAGGCCTTTTTAGTACTGATTCGGCCTCGCTTTTGGGCAGTTGTATACAGAGCTCACCTCATCCCAGTTCCATGGAAGGTTGTATGCCATCAGCGTGTCTGGAAGAAGATACTTGCGGTGAACCTGGAGTTGATGAAGATCAGAAATGAACGGATGGAAAATTTTCTAAGTGAGCTAACCTTGATCCACGTATCGCGGCGCTGCTGCTCGTCCTCTTCCCGTCCCTTATCGTTATTTGTTGTCTCTGCTCTCTTCCTCACGATCTGTTCAATTTCCTCCTCGGTATACCCAAACTCATCCCTCAGGTGCTCCTTGAATTCATTTAATTCATTTTCACGTCTCTTGATCTCAGCAAGCTTCCACTCCTCTATGGCTGCCTGCTTCATCTTACGCTCCTTCGCCATTCTTTCTTCTTCTTCCTGATCTTCTCATTAAGCTGCGCCCGCAATTCTTGCTCCTCGATGGTCTTTTGGTACCATTCTTCCTCTTCGGGACGCAGTCCCGTCATTTCCTCATTCTCAGAACTCTTACTCTCGGCGGCCTCAAGTCTCCCGAGCCAGGAGCGCCGTCTGGCTTTGCGGCTTTCCACCTCGAGACGACTGGTGTTCTCATAATTCACAAGCCTTCGGAGCCTCTCAGTAATCTCACGTTCATCATCGTGAGTAAGATGGGCCTGTTGTGGATCCTCGCCACGCGCTTCCGCCACGTGTTTCGTTTCCTCAAGATGCTGGGCAATCTCAACTCTGTCAAGCTTTTGGAGCCGGTCGCTAATATCGTAATCTTTCTCCCTTGCCAGGCGACTATCCCTGTGTTCAGTACGTTCGCGCTCGAGCCTTTCAATCTCCTCCTGGAGGCAAAGACTCTCGCGGTCTGTTCTCTGCTCGTTTTGCTTGAGCAATTTATGGTCGTTTTGCATATGATCATCTTGCTCTCCGGCGAGGAGATCCTCCCTATTGGGGTTAAGGAACCGTATAAGTATTTCCATCTCTCCCCGAGATCCTCTGGAACGTCTTTCTACGTTGTTTGATTCTCCTACAGACATTCGTCGGCCTCGAGGTTCAGGTTCTTCCAGGCGCTCCGCGACATCGAGCTTAGTAGCCTTTGTAGCTGCATGAACCGCGCCTATAAATTCCTTATCGTTGCCGAAACCACCTGGATCCGAGCTGTCTAGGCGCCTTGTTGTTTGAGCATCAAGCTGGTGTGGACTAATCGAATGTGACTCTTGTCTATCGGTAGGGTCTAGTTCATCTGTCTGTAAAACATCTCCTGACATGTCTCTTTTGGGGCGTATATTCTGATCATCCAGAGAGAAAGTCTGATTCTCGCCAGCTCGTACATTGATGGACTCCCATCCCGCGGACCCTTTGGGAAAACTAATTCTTACTCCGTTCAGCGTCAGTGCAATATCATCGTCTTCTTCAAGCTTTGCACCATCTTCGGTTTCCTGACCGCCATTATCCGATTCTCCGTGCTCTGAATCGCCATGCTCTGATTCGTCGTCGAGGACTTCATCGTCCTCGGAGCCTCGAGGCAGCACGAACAGAGACAGCTCTTCCAGGTGGCGACCAACGTGTTTTTTCGAAAGAAACCATCGGAAGCAAGCCTTCAGCACATAGCGGACATGTGTAGCTTCCGCGTACATCCTGGCTCGCCATGTGTGTTTGGCGAATATGGCGATACCAGGCCCTCCGGCTCTCGTAGAGTTTGTTTTGTGTCGAACAACCGGAGAAGATGCAAATATACGGCGATAGGTCACGGAAGATATGCCTTGCCCAGGCCTGTCGGTCTTTCAATGTAATGATGTAGAAACAATAAGGGCATTCAAATGGTCTTCGTTCAGCGGCTTCTCTTGGAAGTGCAGGGATTGCCAGTTTCTCGCCTCCGGACAGCAGACTGCCTGCATATGAGGTGAAAGACGCATCGGAGTTGCTTATCAGGTCATCTGGTTCCTCACCGGGTGTCTTCAGTTTGAATGAACTTGCGACAGTTTCTGATAGTTGTACTGTGATGTTGTCACCGGCTTGATCAATGTTCAAGCCCTGACTAAGTTTCAGGTGGTGTCGCTCTCGGTATTTCAGGATCGCTCTTTGCTGTGCCATTGCAGAGCTCATTCGGTCAAGAAGCTGGTTCTCTGCCTGTGGATACTTATGCGAGACATGCTGATGGAAATTGAATTTGAAGGGCTCTGCATCGCTCTTCTCGGTTCCGATCAGACGGTCTTGCTGGGCGGGCTTGCGGACCGTCATGGAGATGTCGAACAGCTGTGATACCTTGTTGACCAGGCTCTCGTGGGCTTCTGAAGCAGTCAATACAGAGTCTGACATATTATTTAGATTCAACTCTGTGATGAGGCTTTGCAAGTCCTCATCTAGCTGGTCGTCTTCTTCATCCTCCTTTTCTCCACTGAGGCTGTTCTTTAAATCTGCAAGGAGTTTCCTTATCGCCTCTAGAATTCTAACGGTTTAGTTCTTGATATGCGAAGCATCCCTCAAGCGATAATCCAGAGATGACTGGCCAGTCTGATGAGCCCCGATGTTGCCTGCCCAGAGGCGCAGACGCCCGAGTTCATCCTTCCACGCCCGCAGTGGCACTGCACTCTGACTCTGAATGAAGGGACCGGAAGTGATCAGCTCGTTGAGTTCCTTGAGACAAGCCCGGGTCAGGTCAGATATTGTAGACATGGTATAGGCCGATGCGGAGAAGTTTCATGGAAATTATTCGTATTATTATCATGATTATTATGCTTATGCGCGGTGTGCGGTGCGCTATCGGGCTATGCCCACTACGGCGACCGATTCGGACAAAAGGGTCAATACTAGAGTACAGCGTAAGCACTAGTAACTTCTTGCATTTCTGCCAGCAGAAATTAAATTGTCTTGCTTAATTTCACCGTCGAATTGGCTACTTGTCCCGAACACCACGTAGAGTTACAAGCCTTGCTCATGTGTTGTACACAGGGCCCGTAAAAGTGGGGCGCTGGGTCCTCAATCTAGCAGACAAATAGAAGCAGAAATATCATGTTTACCTGACAGGATGAATCAAATGTCTTTGTCCCTTCTGCTTCCCCTTGCCTCTCGTCCAATCCCATTGGACGAGAGGCAGAGGGCCTATTCAGAGCCATTGTCGGCAGTCCTTACTGGAGCTGTCGGTGCCAGAGCTCCCACCGCGCCCATCTACAGCTCCAATCCAACCCCCTCGCCGAGACCCCGAAAGTGGGCAAGACAGGGACCTACCGGATAACCTTTTCCAACTCAGACAACGGTTCAAAGAACTCGTGGACATGTAGAGAGGTCGAATTTGAGCCGTACACCTTTGATCAACCTTTGGCACCAGTCACCAACCATGCCCTACCGACACATAGGTCAAACCAACAAAAGCCGCAAAAGCCTAAGGTTCGCTTCGAAACAGTAGAAGTGGATTTTAATGAGTCAAAGGAGAAGTCTTGCAATGTCCCTCCCATCGCAGACTTCTGTACTGTACTGTGTCGCGGTAGGGCGCACACACAACCGCCGACACAGGCCGTGGGCTTCATTACCGATCAAGTGAGCTCGAATGTTCGGTACAATATGCACTTCATCAAATGCTACCCAGAACCCATTCAGCTTCAGACACTACAGCAAGCATTGCCAAACAGTAGTAGACGCCATCGGCTGTATATCGCCGCCGGTCTTGCGTGCGGAGTGCTCCAATATCACGGCAACTGGTTGAAGAAATACTGGGACAGTTCTGACATCCAATTACCTACAGATGATGATAATAATGACGATGCAACCGATGACGTTCTACCAAGCGATCTCTACCTTCCCTGGTCCCTAAATGCCCAGCATTCTCCATCAGCACCTACGGATATCAAATATACTCAACAATCCCCACTCGTCCGCAATCAAGTCCTCTTCCCACTCGGCATAGCTCTGACCGAACTCTCCCTGGGAAAATCTATCACCTCTCTCCGACGACCACAGGATGAGCAAGGAAACGAAGACTCAACCCGGTTCATCACGGCATTCCGCGTCCTCAACAGAGTGCAGCAGGAAAGTGGCTCAAACTACAAAGACGCCGTACATAACTGTCTTTGCTGGTTGGACGTCGATTCGCCTTGTTTGGAGGATGAGAAGTTTCAGGGTCGTGTGTTTAATGCTGTCGTTGCTCCATTACTTAGGGACTTGGCGCACTTTGAAGGAGTAGGTGTGCTATGAACTACTATAACATACACTTTGTCTGATACATACTGGTCTAAGTATAATGAAATGAAATTTGATTCCTGATCAATTGGTGTCACTCCGGTTCTGCATCAAGGCTCGAGCTCAGGGCGTTTTAAGTTGGAGAAGGGCTACCCGCGCTGGTGGTTGTTCTTGTTCCTGAAGCAGATGAAGATAGTGTAAGCACAGTGCTGGTGGTTGAGGTTGTGATTGATACTACTAGCGCGCTAGGACAGTGATACTGAGGATGTACCAGATATTGAGGATCGGCTCTTCCGCTACAGTTATTGACCAGGCTATAAATGTGGGAGCACAGTTGTGGCGGATCCGCGATACTGAGCAGTATTGGATCAGTAGCTTGTGTATCTAGGGGAACAGATAAAAGTACAATCAGCCATGGTCGCTAGCAATCTATCTTAATTATGTTTCCTGTTCGCCAGCGATTACTATAGAACTCAAAAATACTTTAGCCAAGGAGAAGGGACAAGAGAAATCATCGCAAGTTGGTCGGCGGTGGTTATGTTTCTACCTTACACCACTACAGGGAACTTACACCGGATTCAACAAGTATATAGTAGTGGAAGTGACCTGTACAAATGTTTGTTGACCAAGTTTGTATTTTGTTCAATCGGTACCACTCACCCTTTGAACGAGGTATAGAAGAAATACGTTATTCACAGGATGTCGCTTAGGGAGAGGCTAAAGTCATTTAGGATGAGAAGTATGGCGAGAGCAATATCTCCAGCGTCCAGTCGCATATTGTTTTTAGATATGGTACATTATCTGAATTCGTCATAGGTCTCTGATTAGCTACATCGAGTACATACGACCATAGGGTGTGGAAAACAGGGCTTCCCGTTGGTTCAGCCGTACTTGAGCCACCTATTAAACACGGCCGAGAGGGATATCAGCCCTTTCTCAGTCACTGCTTTATGGGCGAACAACGCAAAGTAATAATTCAATTAACTAGCTAAAATCAATTCAAATACAATGTACATTACGTGATATATCGCCCATCATCAGAAGGAAGATGAAGGCCTGATTTAGCCAACCTAGCAGCGATACTGCACTGAATACAGGCGCAAGCAATTGAAATGATACGAAGAATGACCCAGCGGACGCTCACTAACCAGTAAAGTTCGATAAGTTAGGAGCTAACCAACCAACAAGCCTTACTAGCTCTAGCCCCCCCGTCCCCCTCCCTATTTCAAACCATCCTTTTCCCTCAACACTTTGTATATTTAACATATAACTCCATCTGTCTCCGTTCAACCCTAAAACCACAAGAAGAAAGAAGGAGGATGCCCCCCAATATATTCTCCAAGCTTCTCCGTCCCCGCAAAAAGGACGCAGACCCAGCTCCCAACCATCCACCCCGCCGCACCTCCCCGGAAGCCCCCGGAATCCTTGACACCAGCTGCACCATTATTACCCAAAACCAAAAGCAAAGACGGTATAAACTTCCTATCCCGGACCCCGAGCACCGCCAGCGCCAACTCCAAACCCTTGCCACATCATCTGCCAGACCTCAAAACCCACAGTCTCAAAGCGCATTTTTTTCCAGGCTACCACTTGAGGTCCGTAATATTATTTACAGGGAGCTATTTGGTGGAAAGAGAGTGCACATTGATTATCTGTGGAAGAGACCGTCTGCTGATGTCGCGCGGCCGCCGACGGGAAAAGACAAGGGGAAGAAGGCCGATGCTCATTGGCAGTGGTGGCACCGGGTCTGCGCGGTCAGCGATGAGTGGGTGGATGATCGATTCGAGGAGCGATGTGTGGATGCGCTCGATGAGCGGGACGAGACGCTGGCTTGGGGCTGGGAGAAAGCAGCACCCCCGGGAACCAAGTTGCAAGGCGTGGCGGCGATGCTGACGGTTTGTCGGATGGGGGGTGTGTGGCTTTTTTCTTCCTTTTTTTTACCCCTTATTTCCTATTCCCTTTGGTAATCTTGTGTGAGGCCCTCTCTAACTATAGACAAAAAAGATACACTGAATCCCTGCCCATTCTCTACACCACAAATACCTTCGTCACAGGCCCCAGCATGGACACCCCCTTCATCATCCGGCGCCTTCTTGCGCCCCCATACACAGCCCTCATCACCGGCATGGACATCGCAATCACAATGGCCATGCCCTACACTGCGCCTCCGGATCTTCCTGGAAACTGGACGACGGTTTATCCCGCGTTCTTCGATCTGATGCAGCATTCGTTTTCCGGTTTGCGTCGCCTGCATTTAACTATTTACCTTAACCCATGGGAAAAGAGCAAGGAGCCTGTTACTGAGGAGTCGCTAGAGGGGTTCTTAGCGCCATGGAAAGAACTTGAGGCAAGTCGCGAGTGGACAGAGTTATGTTTTTTTGTGCCGGAGGATTGGTTTGAGCTTCTGAGGGGGAGGTTTGAGACGCAGCTGGAGAGGCAGACTGAGAGGAGGTGGGCGTTGAAGAGGACGAGCGTTAGGCCGCTGGTGGTGGGGAGTTGCTTCTAGGTTTTAGGTGGGAGTGTATTGTTTTGCTCGCTTATTGATGTACAGATAATAGATGAATGAGTGAGAGGAATTTAGATCAATTCAGCTGGTAGACTGTCTAGAGGGTCTACCTGTTTCCTTCCCCCCTCCCTTTTTTAAGCTGTGGCCGTCGCCGTCGCCGTCGCAGACACAGGCGCTCCACTGTTGATTGTGGTAATGGGCCCAGTGGTTTCAATGCACACGTACGTCGAAGCCTCAAGGCCAGCGCAGTCTGTCCCCAATGCGGGATTCCATGAATAGAAGTCGCTACCAAAACAAGACAAAAGTCATTAGCTCTGTGAAAATCCACCATACAATCCCAACCAAAAAGATCAGGTAACATACCTAAGCTGAACCCCCGCCTCACTTGCAAGATCATAGCAATCATCGTTGCTCTGCACATCATAAAATCGGAGACACCCGGATACCATCCCTGTCTAGAGGTCACATCCCATCACGTTAGTACATTGCAAAACTATGAGCCGGGAAATCATACTTGCGTAGGCGTAGGCGTCACAGGAACCGGATCCCCCGAGGTGATCGTCGTCGCGTATCCCGAGGTCCCAACACACACAAAGACGTTGACCTGCAGCCCCGAACAATCAGACCCGGTGGCCGGGTTCCAGGCGTACAAGTCGGAGAGGGCGACACCGGCGTCTAGGGCAATGTCTTAGCAGTCATTGTTTGCTTGGACTTCGTAGAAGCGGATGCAGCAGGTTGTCATGCCGGTCTGGTTTGTTAGTGTTGATTTTCTCTGGAAAGATGGATGTCTGGGTGATGGGACATACCTGCATAGGCGAGGGTGTTGCTCCAGCGGTTGTGGTCGTGGTTGCACCTGTACTTGTACTGGTCATGCTGTTGATGCTCGTGGAAGAGGAGATAGTGGTTGTGTCATTACTGGACACTCCCACGCAGATATACGTATTCACCGCGAGTCCCGTGCGATTTGATCCCAGGGATGGGTTCCAGTCTACGAGATCGGAGGTGGAGATCCCGTTGGCGGTTGCGATCGTTGTACAGTTGCCACCCCTTTCGTTTACTTAGCGGCGAACTCACGAATTAGTACTATTAGTACCAGTATAAATCAGTACTTTCTTCTTTTAAATCAGTTATCTAATTTATACCAGGCTCGTCCAGACAGTGATAAACTATATTAAAATAGCAGCAGTACTAATAAAGCTCATAGCCTCCGGCAGGTAACACGTGCACTGGACCTTACTATGGACATATATCTTAAATACCTTAAATCTAGAGTATTTCATGGTTGATTCCTTACCTAGTCAACAGGCCTTTTACCATGACAAGTAGATCGTATCACATGAGCCTACCTCTTTCTTCTGCAGGCGGACGGGGTCTTCATGATTGCTGGATATTTCTTCTCCAATCATGCACAAAGAGAGACCATGAGTACCCTTCTAATCTTGTAATTGGACTAGTACCCTGACAAATCAGCTATTAAGTTTATATATTTCCTACTCTGCTGAAATTTTATTTTCATGGAGCCAAATAACATCAGTACTTGAGCTAGCCGGCAAGAGACAGCAACTGAAACCCCCAAAGACAGCCGGCGGAGTGAGTCACTGCTGCTAAATAACATAGAAGAAGCTGGACTTGCTTCTATTCCTTCTCATATAGATCTAAGATAGATGATATGGAGTATTACATTAGACATAGCCTGGTATGTTGAGCGGTGGCATTGGGTGTTAGGGACGTGGATAGGTAGTGGTTCCCAGGGTAATGCCTTGGTGTGTTTATTGTAATTTGTCGATATATGTAGATCTACTACTGCCGGTCTGCTGTAGAAGATTGTCTTTGGATCGCATTCTGTTGAAGCGGGAATTAATGAATGGTTATAGGAAAACAGAGCTTTAGATACTCATAATCCTCTCATATAACCACATATGCACATCATCCGGAACACTTTTAATGATACTTGGAAGCACACCTATGTCGTTCACAACAGGAAGTGAACCAGGAATCCCCTATAATCCTATTAATGGTACTATGGCATGAGCGACTGTCGAAGAAGACTGATTAACAAGCCACCAGCACTGCTTAAGGAACTGCGTCCCGCAGTCACTGTTGCATATTTTTGTATCCCATCCGACGACACCTGGATTTCTCCAGCCATAGCATCACATTTATCTAATCCTATAGTGTAACTCTTTATTATTCCTCTGTTAGTAAAATATGATTATAGATTTCGCAGCTAGTACTTATACATATACTCCTCTGATATTCCCATTACTTAAACTAAGAAGTGAATTTATCTCAAGAACGACACAGATAATTTCAGGAATATTTCTATAAATCCTAAAATATCTAAGAAGTTTCAGATAGTCCTATATATTTAAGTCTCCGAGCAATTAGTATGAAAATGCAGGATTAGATGTCTAGTCTAATAATTTAACTAAAAATCAACGGAAGATTTAGGTGTGCAAGCTTGAGGATTGTTAATTAGTTAATCAACTAAACATATTTTATTGCGAAGTACGTAGCAAGCTTTCGTAAAGTGGGCTCTTGAGGGAATACATGCGCAAGCTGTGAGGAAATACTCATGTGATCATCGCATCCGTGCCATCAGTTGCACTGTCTCCCGAAGAAAACCAAAGGAAAATAAGTGAAAACGAAAACAACAAAGAAGAAAAGAATTTCAAAATTGTCGCACTACAGTATGTGAAAGACCGAGAGCTGCAAGTTCGAAATATCACAACGAAAGAAAGCAGATACTCAATTGACCATGGTGGTGCTAAACGGATCTCAAACTCAGGATCGTTTGAACATCTTCATAGCCGACGCTGGTGTTTTCCTCTTGGGCAAGCAGATGGGCGGTTCGGAGCACATTCTTGATCTGTCGACCATTCAACTCCACCTTCGCAATTTCGTCAAGCTGTTCGTTGGAGAATATTTCCACGTTTGGAGCAGCCAGGAACTGCATCCAAATCTGACGTCTCGTTTTCTCAGTAAGTTCCGGGTAGCAAATCGACACGTGAATTCGGGATTCAAATGCAGGGTCCATGTTTTCGGCACGGTTACTGGTAAGAAATAAGATCCCCTGGAGTCTGTGAGATACTGTGCGAGCAGGAGAGCGAGAGGACTTTCATATCTTACCTCATAGTATTCCAAAACCCTAAGGAATATGGAAACTAACTCATTTCTCGCGAGATCAGTTGAATTGCGGGCCTCCATAAAAACATCTGCCTCGTCAAGAAGAAGGACAGCTCCCCATTTGGGAACAATAGAGAGAACGTCCTTCAATCTTTCTTCAACTCTTGAAGGACTTGTACCAAGGTCTGCCGCACTCAAAACGTATAGAGGTACTTTCATGACCTCTGCAACACCCTCAGCCGTCAAAGTTTTGCCCACTCCGGGCGGACCACGGAGAAGCATAATAACGCCACGTCCTTTGCCCTGGACGACATCATCAAAAACTTCAAGGCCATTCGACTTCGACTTGGCCACGGCAAGGATGAGTTTCTTTAAATGTTGCTGATTGTCTGGCAGGACCAAGGATTGAAACGCTTGCGCGTTCCAGGTAATGTCTGTGACATTGTCGACAAAGAACTCGAGCCATTTCTTGTCTTTGAGAGCATAACCACGCAACATTGGTGTGGCTATCATCCTTTGAACCTCGGAAAGCTCTGCCGCGATGGTATTTGAAAAATGAAATTCTTCGTCAGGGTTAAACGTGATATATGCCGCCGTGTCAATTACGATGCGACTTGTGATGTTGAGTTTTACCTCACGACCGAAAAGGTATCCCTTGCCGACTCCATCATATTGCTTGTAATGGTATCCTCTCAGGCTCTCCCAGAGGCTTCCACGCAATAATAATTCTTTCTCAATCGTATCCCTGTTTTTGTGATATGCTAGGGGTGCTACAGACAAATCCGTGATAGGGCATGTTCCTTCGAATGCCTCCAGTTGGAACTCATGGGTTGAAAACCCAAATTTGTCACCATCAAAGTCGATGTACTTCCCGTTCAGTACAAACGTACCGCTTCGAGAATCCATATCACCTGTTCCACAAATAAAAGCACGGGGTCGATTATCCAAGACACTAAAAACGATGTCACCTGGCTGGAAAAGGGTCCAAAGCAAGGCGTGAGTCACGACACCGTTTGAGATAAGATCGGACCTCCTGGAGATAGTATCATGTAGTTCGCTTTCTAGAATCCCATACAGCAGGTCGACATGTGCCTTGGTCGTCGAATCTTGTTCACTCTCTCGAGCGGCTGTGAATTGTTCCCAGCGATGAACGAAAGGTTTGAATGGCTTGCTGAACTCGATTCGGTCCAGGCTCATCGTAAGTCCTGGATATCCCGCCATTACAGGAGTGAGAAACTTCTTGAGCGGTTCACTTTGCAGTACAATTGAATGAATTGTAAGACTCTTGCGACCATCGTAACATTTGATGTTTCTCACAATGATCGCGAAAGAGCTTGATTCAGCGCCCTCGGCCGGTTCGACCAGATTTTCAGGGAGTTCTTTAGTCCACGATGCGCGACCCCTACTATCTGGCTTTGTTTGATAGAGGTTAAATATATCGCAAAGAGAGCCTGGAGAGACGTTTTGGACTGAAGAGAATATACTCAGTGAGCTTCATTTTGCATAAACTCCAATAAAACCTGACTTACTCGTTGAGCTACTCAGCATTTTGAAGTTCATAGGAAGGTTTGATTCAAGGAATGACAAATGAGGAGGATGCCATGCAATATTGGTGCATTTGCCGGAGGTGACTTATATGCAGTATTTTATGAAGTGCTCTAATGAAAAGTATTTTGAGCCTCATTCTTTTTGCTACCCATTTTGTCCCTTTGAAGCCCGACAGGATGGACTGGTGTGACATGCGCCAGTCTTCGGGGTTTGTTTGGACTGCAATCACAAGCAACAAGAGAGACTCATCGCGCCTTCGGAATGTCGATATTGATCGTGCGCTGTCCCAAACCCCTTGACCTACCCCGCGAATTTAGGCAGCAGGGCTTTAGTGGTGGAAGCCTGGCAAATTGTCTTACATTCAGCCTTGTCCGCCCGGATGTGAGTGTGCCTTGGCAGCATGCATAAGCGTGCTCTGTGCCAATCATCCTAGTGTCTTAGTGTCCGACGGCCGACCACTGAGGGCTTGATTTACGAGCATCTTTGCTGTCGCCGCAAACATTCCAATGTGGTCTGAACGCAGGTAGTTTATGTTGGGACAGTAATCTCTCCGTCGCTAGTCTGACTAGGCGCGATATATCGTTTTTGGTCTAGCGGTTAGCGTTCCGACAGTTTATTTACTAGAGAGTCTAGATTGTGTATTGATGCCTTAAGGTAGTGACGCGGACCACTTACTATAGAATGAGGGTCTCGCTTAACTAATATGTGTGTGTATAGTATATTGTGTATATATTCCTTAATGAATACAAATGTCATCCACCGATATCCTTTCCCCAAGCTCGTTGCTGAATGCATAAAAAGCCACATGTATACTTTGTTTGCTCATTTTCCAAAATTATGGAAGCTCACCAAATGTCTCCCTATGCCGACGATGAATATACGGTTGGATGGAGTTGCGCGCTCGTCCGATCGAGCTGGAAGAAGGTGTAGAATCCGATGTGATCGTCTTCTCGACGGAAGAACTGGTTTAGTTCGTGCTGGATCGTGTACCCAGAAATATAAGATTACGGATTTCGGGGTTATTCAATTCTCAATCGGTGACCTAGACAGGGTGGGTGGGTGCCTTGGGATAGTTTGCAGTGGCCTGGGATGCGGATGGGGTGGGTTGTTATTAGTAGAGCGGGGGGAGCAGGGGGTAAGAGCGGTTGTGGTTGGTGGTCGAAAACTGCCATAGCTCTTGATGGCTTCTAGAATCCCGTCCACAATACGCGAAGACCCCTGGGCTTGTATATTTTCCACTCCACGCTTGAAGATTATCGCGACCTTGGGCCTAGTGGAGGGGTTAAGAAGATACCGGTACGTTTTCGAAATGTCTTTGACTGGGGATGATAGAGCACAAGGCTGGGAAGATATTGTCGAGGTTTCGTCTCGGTTGGAGAGGTTCTTCCACACCCGGTCATCATTACTGTCTAAAATGAAAGGTTTTTCATGTACAGTATTTGCCTAAGCTGTTTCGACAACAAGCGGCAGGCTTTCCAGATGTATTATAGATAGACATGTAATCACTCTGGAAATATCAAGGAATAAGGTTGGGCCCGAGAAGTTAGAGCTTCTTTTTTTAAAAATTATTCATTAGAGAAATAGCAAAATGAGTTATAATAGGTACTGGAATAATATGGAATAGGAAATAAGATTGAAATAACATTTGGTCAATAATATTATAATCATAAATACTAAGTAAACATACGTTAACAGAACAAAAAGTAATATAAAAATAATATTACTAGTCTTAAATAAGACTGTGAATTGGGTAGTCTTACACGGTAGACTAATACTATCTATTTAACATGGTTACTTATTCGAATATTTACTAACATCAATCTATGCATAAGATTTACTATCTTTTGAACTAAATTATAAAAATAGACTGATAAATAAGTAGCTGAAGACTGCGAGCATGCAGTGTATGCAGTATGCTGGTTGCTGTTGTGTCTCCATACTGTTAGTTATGAAGCTCGCTTTTTTGGGAGGATTGGTCGTTTATCCGCGGCTACTTTGCTCCAATGTTCACATTTTGGTTAGGATTCGATAATCGCTGCTCAACTGTTTGTTCCCGGAGCTTCCATCTATAGGCACAGAACTTGCAGTGGGAGAAATATCCCTCATTACGGGCAAGTATGGCTAGGGATATTACTCCCTAGATCCCTGCCAGTGTACGTCAGCGGCCAGGTGACCGCCTGCAGTTTCTCAGGAAATCACAACCGAATCAACCAATAATACTACAGGGATAACACATATCTCACGCGTAGCCTTGTCTACCCTTTTGGTGTTACTTTTTCTTCATATTACATGAGCTGCAACGAGGCTTATCTTTGTTTCGAGGCCCCCCAAAGCAATGCAAGATGTTATTTGGTGGCGGTTCACAGCAGAGCCCTTCTTTACTTCATCCGGCTTAGACATGTTGAAGTACATGTAAGACTTTAGCAAGTGAAATTATCGATGACTTGGAAGCTAGCCTTGAATGCTAACCCAGTCCATGTTTCCGAAGTATCCCGCTTTTTGCAAGGCTGCGATCTTAGTAGGTAGCAGCACTAGCGTCGCTTTGCCCGAAAACACCCAATATAATTGATAGTGAACCACACCGCAAGAAATTGGGGTTTGCGGCTGAAGCCTTGTTCTTTAGTGAAGAAGTCTTCCTGGGGCTTTCTACATAAGCCCGCAAACTTCGTTTCTACCCCCAAAGTCTTTGAACACGCCTATGCGCCCTGCTTGCTATACTTTACTGCAACAATCTGGTTCTATTCTTATTACTGCTCCCTCACAGATCATGGCCAATGAAGATCAGTCCCCTTATTCGAACGAAGAGTATACTGTGGGATGGATATGTGCGCTGCCAGTGGAGTTCGCCGCGGCGAAAGGAATGCTTGACGAGGAGCACGGCAATCCGCAAATGCCACCATCCAAAGCTGACAGTAATTCGTACTTGCTGGGGTCTATCGGTAAATTCAAAGTTGTTGTTGCTTGTCTGCCCCTTGATCAACTGGGTGCCGCCTCTGCTGCTATTTGTGCAAAGGAAATGCTTTTCACTTTCCCAAAGATCCGTGGACTTCTTGTTGGCATTGGAGCCGGCATTCCAGGCGTCGGCGACAGTCCTGATATTCATTTGGGTGATGTCGTGGTCAGCTCCAGTAAGGAAAGTAGAGGTGTCGTTGTCTATGATTTCGGGAGACAACTCGCGGATGGGTCAGCTTAATGGGATTGGAATTCTTAGGTTCTTACTTGCTAGACTGCACATGGACGATCTGATGCCGCGAATTACCAAAGCAAGCCTTAGGAGGGCTTTAAATAATTTGCCACAGGGTGCCAATAAATTGACGGTGACCTATGATCGGACTATTGCCAAGATTGAAGCTGATCGGGGGGTCGGGGACGGATACGAGTTGGTCATAGAAATCCTCTCATGGTTAGCCTACAGCAAAAGAGCACTATATGCTAAAGAACTTCAACATGCACTCGCCTCGAGACCAGAGCACTCTAACTTGGATGAAGACTTTCTACCGCATCTCAAAACACTTGGGTCATTGTGTGCTGGATTGGTAGAGTATGATGTATATACCGGTATCATTCGCTTGGTTCATTACACCACAAAGCAGTCCCTGGTTGGACATCCCATACTTCAGGAAGCAGAAATGAAAATTGCGAAGACATGTATAACATATCTTTCTTTCGGTTGTTTCTCCTCTGGACGCTCTTCTAGACCAGAGCAATACACGCTTCGACAAAAACAATACCCCGTCCATCATTATTCTGCTCAAAATTGGGCAACTCATGCATCAGCGGCCTTGGATAGCTCTAGCTCTGAAGACACATTAAAATTCTTTTTTTTTTCAGTTCTTAGAAAAGGAATACAATGTGTATGCAGCTGGTCAGGCAATGCTGGCGCATTCCGTTCATGGTGATGAGGAGCCGCAGTTTGCAAATTGGTTGGATTTCATTCCACGCCGGCTGACCAAGATTCATCTTGTTGCGTACGGTGGCCTAGCTCCAATGATAGCTAAATATATCAGCTCAGGCAACGATATGAATGCCAGAGACTCTGATGGCATGACACCACCTGCATACGCTGCTAAATATGGTCACCTTGAAGTCGTGAAACTTCTTTTGGATTCCCGTTCAAGCTTTCCAGATCCTGCAGACCAGTATGGCCGAACACCACTATTGATCGCAGCCTTTCGAGGCCACGGGGAAATAGCTCGGCTTCTGATTCAGCATGGTGCCAACCCACATGCCAAAGATGACTCGGGGTGTTCGGCACTTTTTGGTGCAGCGGAGACTGGAGACATCGACTTAATGCAATTTTTGATTGACCTGGGAGTAAGGATTGACAATCTCTGCTCATGCGATAACGATAGCCAGACATCTCTCGCGCATGAATTCAGGTCTGGAAAGATTGAGGCAGTACAATTTCTATTATCACAAGGCGCTGATCCCGACGTGCAAGATGAATTGGGAGACACACTTCTTTGCGACGCAGCGGTATCTGGCGACGAAGACATAGTCAATGAGTTACTTCGAAGAGGCGTTCGAGTCAATATCACGGGTAGTTCAAGGTTTACGCCTCTCCACTATGCTGCCAAGGGAGGTTCTGTCAATATAGTCAGGGCGCTCATAAATGCTGGTGCGTATTTGAATGCTCAAGATAGCGGTCTAGATAGCCCGCTGGCGTATGCGATCATGCATGACTTCAACGAAGCTGCACTGCATCTACTCAGATGTGGTGCAGATCCGAATCTTATAGATAGAAATGCAGAGGTTGCTCTCTTCCATGCCACCAGGAAAAGCAATGTACAGATGGTCGTTGCATTATTGGAGCATGGGGCAGACCCGAATTCTTTGAATAAAGAACACGAGTCTCCTCTCTTTCTCGCAGCAGGACAAACTGACACGGAAATTCTGAAGCGCCTTCGACGCTTCAAGGCAGACCCGAGAATCGAGAACAAGTACATGCAAAGCCCTTTGTTCCCTGTGGCAAGAAATGGAAACTGTTCAGTCATCGACGAATTGATCGACATGGGCCTGGATGTCGATAAAACAGATGATAAGGGCAACACGCCGCTCTTTTACGCTGCTGAGAGTGGTAAGGAATATGCAGTACAAGCCCTCTTGGCGAAAGGAGCAGATATTCAGCATCGAAATCTGGGCCAGGAGACAGCCCTCTTCTCTGCAGCTCGATTCGGGCGGATTTCAATTGTCAAGCTCATGTTGGAAAACAACGTTGATCCAGACCCAAAAAATATCGATATGAAGACACCACTGCTATGCGCTGCAAAGGGTTTATGCCCTTATTCCCCACGACGTGAAGACTGGGACGTTGCAGAAAATAGCAGGGTCATATCACTTCTTCTTGATGCCGATGCCGATGCTAACCCTCAGCGTTCTTTGGACAGTAAAAGTTCTCCCTCAGAAAATCAGCTTCTGGCGCCGTTGTTTTACGCGGTCAAAGGAGGATACTCTGACTTGATTAAGGCCTTTTTGAAGAAGGGGACACAGGTCAACCTTTCTCCAAGGCAGGTGCAGATAATCCTTGAACAGGCCATTTGCTTGGGACACCGCAATATGCTAGAGATGATGCTAAAAGAGGGACCCATCACATTTAGGGAACGTGCAGATATCCCAGCACTCGTGATTGTGGCAGCAAAATCAGGAAAGAAGGATATATTGGAATTCCTGGTGGTGGAGCATTCAGTCTCTCCAGAAACAAAAAGTACGACGATACTATTTGCAATGTCTAACAAAGAAGTTGAGACTGCACGCTTCCTCTTACACCACGGAGCAAAGGCAACTCTGCTCACTAGCAAGGCTCAATCTGCCCTTCACCTTGCTGTGTTTTGTGGAGACCTGGGTTTCGTGAATCTACTGACAAAAGAGGGAATGAAGATTGATGTCAAAGACAAACATGGTGGCACGCCGTCGTTTGATGCGGTCCAGCGACGAGAGCTCAATATTGCACGCGCTTTACTTGAACCAGGTGCGAATCCTAACACCACCGAGGCAGGATATGTTGAGCCATTACGGTACAGGGACAAAGTCGTCTCAGTGCCGCTGAAAGATCTGGAGGCTCGGAACACTGCAAACTGCTTTGGAGATACAACGCCCTTATTCTATGCCGCCGGTGACGGGAACGATAGCATGGTAGAGTTACTGCTTGATTACAAAACTCAGGCGGATCCACAAGACCAGTTTGGTGAAAAGCCAATCTGCTGGGCAGCTGGGAAAGGATACGAGGCTATTGTGAAAATACTACTTGACAAGGGCGCAAATCCCAATCAGTCGGATAACCCTTCTCAATCCCCTATCTTTGGGCTTTGAAACCCCACGGAGAATCTCTTTCGCAGAAGATCAGCAGGGGCAGAGGCTCGGGATCATGGCCCAATTTTGGGGTCGGAGACATATCAGCGGTGGTAGAAGTATTGCTTCAGCGCGGTGCAGATCCCAACATCGTGGATGGGAAAGGGCGCCCACTTATATCATTATTGATAGATCGTGAAGTAGTGGAGTCGCTGCTTGGAGCGGGGGTGCAATCCTAACGTGAAAGATCGCTATGGTAGGACTCCATTGATGGGGGCTGTCGTGCGAGATATGCTCGAGTTTGCGAGTGCGTTGCTTGAAGATCCGAGTCTTGATCGCGAGGCAACCGATAGCTTCGGTCGCACGGCCATAAAAGAGGCTATTTCGAGGGAAAAACCGTGGTTTCTACTGCTCTTGGATCCTCAGCGGTATAGGTCTATGGTGAGGGTCAATGGAAAAGAGATCTCCAGTGATGGAAAACTGGTGATTTTTCAACAAAGAGAGGGAAATAGTCTCTACGACACACCTCCTGGGACAGTAGATATCCACACGGAGCTAAGATTTGAGGACCCATGGTGCTCAGGAATCAGGGATGCGTTTATCATGATGGTGGATAATTCTGACCGCGGCGTGTGTTGCGATGTTTGTGGAGCACGCACTCCGCGCGAAGCTGCCCTAAACTGTACAATTTGCAATGATGGAGATTTCGATCTCTGTGTGGAATGCAAAAAGTGGGGAGCGGCTTGTGTCGATGACGAGCATGAATTGGTCAATAGGCAGCCTCTACAGAACAGGGGACAGTATTTTCTAATGGGTTCTAGCTTGCATGACTGACCGAAGCCATTCACAATATATTATCTCTCCACTATGATCGATTGGATTATTATATGCATCTACAACCAAAGACTGATTCTCCGGAAAAGACCTGGCAACTCAGGGAAGAATGCGCAAAGCATACCTACAGGCTATAAGAGGGTGACGGGATTAGGCGAAGCCTCCGGATGCATACCAAACACGCCCTGGAATCCGTGAAGAGAAGTAATAACAGAGTAGAATTGAATCACAAGATTGGACTTGTGAGCTCCTGAAGCTTCTGCTACCTACACTATTTACAAATTCTCTTATCTTATATTGAATTACGGTGATAGGAAGATATTGCTTCCACTAAGATACAGGGTGATTCTTCAGTAAACTGGGGTTCTTTGAGAGCAATACCAAACAGTAGACACCACAGTACTCACCATCGTCACTAAGTACAACAGCTCAATTATATCATGTTCACGGGTGGTAAAGATAACTACGTCAAACCAGATGTCGGCACATGGGCCGCCGAAATTGGCTGCAGTTTACGCTGCTCTTGGCCGTCTATCTGCTAGGGTTCCGCCATTCCCCCGTGCACGTATGTCCACGCACCGCTAAGTACCGACCTTAGAGCCGTCCGAACCGCGATTGTCCGCAGCGCAGTATGTCCAGGCACACTCTTCTCAGGCCGGCCAATACTAACTTGCCTACACCTCGCTGAAGCCTTTGAATCGCGCCAAACATGGCGTCCCTCAAGATGAAGCATTACGTCGAAAGGTATTTCGTTGTCGACTGCGTTGTGCCGTATCTCCTCCAATGTGGTTATAGTAGCTGTGTCTACTAGTAAACAATGTATACTACATATAAATTAGAGGAACCTCTTGTCAGATGCCCGTAGAAGTATCATCTGAAGTGACTGCTATCGCGCCACCTGGCCACCCAATCACTTTTATACTCCGTATGTTCGCGTAAAAGCAGGGCAAGCTAATTGTGAGACACCCATCGCACCTTCTGTTGTATGTTTTATGCCTTCGAACTTCCTTGAAGTGTTTGTTGAAATCTCACTACCCCAAGTCATTGCAATGCCACTATTCGAAGAGGGACGCGTAGCGTAAAACATAGCATCGGTAGGGCATCAGGTATCTGTACCACAGGGTCTGGACTAAAGTGTTTATGCCAATTCTGTATCAATTACCTTCTGTGAAATCTATCGTTGCGCACTTTCGTATGAGAATGCCCTCAATCTTCCTGAATGTCATATATGATGCAATT